ACGAATCGAGTAGGTACCAGTTCGAATCGGATCCGCAGTACGGGAGAATAACGAGTGAGTTGCTAGGCTCCCTAACCTATAAAAAGTAGATCTTCAATTCCTTGCCTGCTATATGGGAATTCTGCTCGAGGTGTTGCGCCTTAAACCGTCTGTCATATAATGAATCTGGTTCAAGCGCCTGTAGTTTACAAAACTACAAAGATAGGAGAGCATACCCTGCTTTCTCACACGAAGAAAGGGTCTTCGGCAACTAAACCATCTCTTACGATAGAAAGCGCCCCTCAAGCCTATCCCATGAGAAGGTTATGTAGGGCTTAGCGAGGGCGCCAAAAAGCAGTGCGGCACAGCCCAATAAGGAAAGAGGCGGTTAGCCTTCCCAATCGGGATGTTTCCGCCATTGCAGGTCTTCGAGCGTCTTTCTACTGAAGGGGAAAAAAAAAATTTGTTTCGTTCCTTCATTCTGCTGAATAGATCTATACATTCCTAAATAGCTCTGCTAATTTTCATTCAAATCGTGTAAAAAGTGTTTCAAAATGTTTAGCTGGTATGTGTACTCCAACTCGTTGTCATGTTTCGCGAGACTAATATACGCAGGTATCGAAGGAGTCTCTTAAAACGTCCGGTATTGATGCAAAGTGTAACCACGGCGGTAGGGCATTTTTCCTTTGAGATGATATCTTTCTTCAATACTCTCTGCTGACTATCACCGAAGTGTTTATTCGTTGTCGGAGATGGGCTGGCACAGCATGGTGTTGAACGAAAGAGCCTTTCCAGTCATGATATGACTCGAACAGCGCGAATGACACTTTATGGTGGTGGTATGGTTGTCTTAACTGCTTCGAATTTCCCCGATTCCTTCTCAAGCTCACTCGTGTGCACAAGTGGTATTCGGTCCCGTTGCAACCAAATGGTTCCAGTTTTTGCAAAACCGCATCTCTTCGAGTACTCCAGCCAGGACGCTGGCCACCCGTGTAGCAGCAGATCAGCTGGTCTGTGCTCCCACAATGATCGGCGTGTTCTTGTCTAGTATGTCTTTGCTCGAGGGAAACGATCCTAGGGAGAAGCTGCAGCGCATGTACTGGGAGGCACTTCGAACCAACTGGACTATTTGGCCCATCCTGCAGGGATTGAATTTGTACCTGGTGCCTCTACAGTTTCGGGTCCTTACTGTTAATGTTCTGAACATAGGTATGTTTTATTGGGCCATTGTTGAATATATATTGATCGTTCCCAGGATGGAACTGCTTTTTGAGCTTTCTGAATAATGCATAGCTTGCACGAAGGACCCGAGTTGCCTGAGCTGTACATAGCCATTTTGAATGGTAGCTTATGCGTGTTATTGAAGCCAGGAGGGTTGCTGTCATTGTCACTGGATGGTGAGCTAGGGTCATCATGATGGGTCCGGAGAACTCGGTTTGGTCAATCTGTGTACATTCGGTTGATCTCACAGGTAACTATCATATTATGTGCTGGACGAGACAGATCTCAAATTATTGTACTCTAAATGTGACTTTCTTCCTGAACCTCACGATCCTCCTAATTTAACAACGCAGCATACAGAAATTCAGGTATAAAAGTGTTCGATATTATCGATCATCTCGATAATATCGAAGACGTTGTGAATACGCCACTGGCCAAGTACAACTCTCAAAGGTACAGTTTGAATTTACTCCAAGTCCGTTCACATTCATCGTCATGTAGAAATCTCTCCGGGCATCACCCAATGGCCCTACTGAGCAGACTTGCAAAAAGAATCACGACCTCAGCATAACCGACATCTCATCTGCAACACCATACAGTTATATCGCTCGATTTTTACTCCTTAATACTGGCTTCTATCTAACTCTTATTCAAGGCGCGGATCGTGCCTTCGTCACTGCTGCCAGATTTTATTATACCTAGCTTCGAGCCGGGATCTCCCATTTGGGCCGTTTGAGACCCGAAAACCATTGGTTCAAACATATTTTATTTATTCCTGATTAGAAAAAGAGAATTTCTTGAAGCATTCTTTGCATGAGAAATACTATCAACTGCACAAGGAACTGTTGACCGAAAACTGTGAGTAGCGTCAACCATTGGTACAGGATGCTCATTTCCCCATATAGGTGACAAAGAGGCTGGGTGCTGGGTGCCTACGCACCATGCTTTGCTTGACTGGGTCCAATACACCTGCTGCCATAATCGATGGTTCATTGGCATCATGAGGAGCCTGACGTCTCATGCCCAAACTACTTCAAGCTTCTCTGAACAATTGCCTTACTTCAGCCATCCCCATGTTATAATTCGGACCGGCAATGTCTATCAGCCACAGCATTCCAGGGGCATGTAGTCTGAAAAAGGCTACCGCTAACTGTCTGGTACTGGTACTGTGCCAACCACAGTTTTTCGTTCTACGATATCGACATTCATTCAATTCGATAGCATACAAATCTGCAGAATGCCTAATATCGCTTACTCGGGGCCATTATAAACTATAATCTTTCCAGTAGCAGGAACCCCGATACATGGAAGTCCTAGCTGACGTGGTGTTGCCGATTGCTTCTAACTGTCAACTAGCTCACTAGTTTGCGATGGTAAAATCAATAAAGGCTATTGCCTATGATCGCAACTTTGAGTAGATTCTCCTCGACATCGGCGTATATGGCGACTGGAATACGGATACGTTTACCGGGGACTGGCGACCTGTCGTCGCAGTTCTGGCCGTTTTTCACGCCAATACCAGACAGTTACCAAGATTCTTGAACCTATTCGAGAACATTGCGGCATAATGTCACATTCCAACCTGTCAAACACAAGAGGCATATTGTTGATACCGCGCTCGTGAGAAACTCGTTGTGTCACTTTTACCATTCTATCTTACTCACAGCATCCCAGATTGGTATTTACAATGGTGCTTGTTGAATGTCTCTGTCTTCTACCCTTGAGATGAGTTACCTCGTGCGGGATAGCTGGGTCTAAATTCCCACGCTTCTTGAGGCCACAATATCTGACAACGCGATACCACGCAAGTTCCTTCGGGGTACGGGAAGTACTAATACGAGGTGGATAACCCTCACATATTTCTTTATATGGGGTATACGGCGGATGATAACGACACTACCGGACCTATTGCAGTATGACTGATTGCTGTGGCGCTCTCCGTTATTGTGTTTTCCTTTCAATGCAGCTGGATGATCTCAAAAGCCAGTTGTTACCAGAGCCACGGTCAGAACAACCCTACCGAAAAACATGAATATCATGCAGCGTGAAATATTCTCGGCACAATGTGCAATGCTTCACCGCGACAAAGGAGCTCGCAAACAGGGATAAACTACACACAAGCAATACGCTTAATCCACGCAGCCTACAGAACTGATAAATAAATGGGGCATGCTAGCCTTGAGACGTCCTTCGGCTACCTAATTTGGGAACATGCGAGGTTATGTCGAGGAAAGCTGGAAACGAGTCTACGGAGACAACAAGTCCTGTAACAAAGGGATCTCCACATAGGCCATGAAAGCATTTGACAGAAGGCCAATCTTCCGCTCTAGAGTTAACAGTCTTAAGGACAGCCGGAGGGAGACAGCCTATCCAAGTTAAGTACCGTATAGGTTCAGTTGAACACCTGTTTTGACATGTCTAGCAAGGCAACGCAGAGCGCGACAGCTACATGGACTTCGAGCACGCAGAGAAGATCCACGGTGCCAGTAACGAAAAGTGATAGTACACCGTCAGCTCCCAGCATATGTTGTCCTGACTAGATCGTCGCTGGATACGAGCGATATGCCGAGCATTCCGTCAGTTCAGAAAATGGGGCGTAATGTTTTCGCGGCCCAACTATTCCAACCCCTATCAGTCTGTGACCACTTCCGCCAGCTGCGGGTACAAATCTTGAGGTTTGGGATTTGGCGCCCTCTTCCCGAATATGCGAGATTTAGAGTCAGACTCTGGCCGTCAATTAGAAATCATGGGCGTTGGAGAGATGAAGAAATGGTGGACAATTCTGCGAATGTGCAATGATCAAATTGCAAATGGCGTGTTGAACCAGTCTTCTTCTATACGCCCGAGAGCAATCAATATATTGTTAGCGGTATGAACCAAAAAAACGAGGTTGGACCAGCCGTCTACGTCAATTTTGACTATGCTTACTTGGAACTGAAAAGAGTCTCACGTGCCAGATATGAGAGCACTGCAGACAAGGGAACCATCTCGTGACGACCGACGACTCCAGGAGACCAAGTTTGACATTGAATCCACATTGTCGTCTAATCTATATTTCAGATCGACAAGCCGTACGTACGCAGATAACGAGAAGATTGCCAGACCCACTCGGATGGCATACGACTATAAGCGTCGGGCTATAAATGGCACAGCTAGTGAAGACAGGTCTAATTTTACATGAAGACTGGAGAATCAGTCCTTTTGTTTATTTAAAGCGCGAGCAGAGGGTGTCAGGGTAGGCGAAGAGCTCTGTTCAGCGACGCCTTCAAAATACCTTTACGGACTCCGTTGATACTTAATACCAGAAACGGCTCCAATTGAACCTCATGAGCCGCTTCACGCATGGTGCCACAATAAAGCCAAGGTGCTGTGCTATGTTAGTCGTGGCTTTTCAATGGTTTACTGACGTATTCGGATTGAATGCGCTCATCCGCTATGCCATCGGGCGGATTCGTCCACCCAGTATATTGCCAGTAACAGTCTTCTGCCAAATTACATCGTCCTGGAACTGGATATTTCAATCAAGACATTGATATTTCGAGCGACAAAACAGTCTTGATTTGTGTACTACTGGTGTCACGTGGCTGCGTGCCCTAATTCGAATCGTTCAAGTACGTTGGAGAATTTTCGATAGCCCGAGGACCTGTATCTGGCGCGCAATCCACTGTATGTGCCATAAAATTTCGATCTATTCACAATAGAAAAACAATACAAGATAGTACATGAAGATCGGAGCCGTAGCACCCGCTGCGAAGATATTCCCATCCACCGCACGAAAACAACACCATCATTAGAAGCGCTTTGCCAGTACACAAACATTCTCACATCTCGAGCAAAAAAACAAACCGAATATTCCGTCTCCAACTTCTTACCCTCACCAAATCCTACTCCGCTCACTAACATGCGTGCAAAGGGTAGTTCACTCGGCGTCACGTCCGCCGGCACAGGAACACGACAACGATGGCCTTGACCCGGTTTTATAGACCTTTTGTTTCTCCTTTTCTCACTCATCTCATTCCGCCTCCTCGTGTTTTTTTATTTGTTTTATTTTATTTTTCTTTTCTTTTCTTGAAAGCGTCATCGCTGAAGGTGTGCTCCACTTCGAAAAGAGCGAAGATGACATGGCTCCATATCCTTCATTCAGTGTCGCTGCTAAGGCTGGAAATATTAGCAGTGTTTTAACAGATACCCTAAGGAGGAAACATACCCAGAAGTAATAAACATCGGAAATGTGCCTCACGCGGCCTTCCCCGCGGTAGCCATATGCGAGAGTTCGAGCGAAGTAGGAGGGTGATTTGATTTTGAATGATACGGTGCCCCTGGACAGTTCAATCATAAAAGACGGCATTCGGTATGCGGGAGAGAGGCATTCGATCGTTTTCGCAGGTGTGGGCGATTGTTCGAAGACGACAACGAGAGATGACAGGAAGTCCCGGTCGGCGCGAAGGACAGATGGTAGATCAAACGCAGCATAAACAGCTAGAAACACAAGCGAGACAAGACAGGCGCGTATCGAGAGATCGACATGACCCGCAAAGCCAATGAGCTCCCAATCCAAAGTTATTTCGTGGTAGCTTCAAAGGACAGTGCGCGCGAACATTTTATTTCGATGAGCCAACATCAAGATGACGAGACTCATGACTTCATGAGGATAGCCCGCAGAGGGGTCTGTTTAAGGTTCATGTCAGTTTGAAACTATCGGCTTGTTCTGAGGATATTTGTACGTACGCAGACAGAAGGTCCGGGGCGATGGGGTTCGCACTCTCGATCGACCTTCACGCATTGCCGGGCGATGATATGTGTTTGAGCTGGACGAGGCGAGAGGTAGCAGAGGAACCTGCGTTTGGAACGAAAGAGTGGACGGGAGCACCACAACATATCTCAGAAAGCAAAATCAAAAACGAAGCACCCAGAGGCGCCGAACTCAGAAACATAAATTTCCTCGAAGACAACAAAGCAGATAACACAGAAGTAGCAAGAGAAAAGAAAACTGATGCCAGACGCTAACTCAAAACACACCATAAAGAGAATTAAGTACAAAAGGGAAAACAGCCTGTCACTGGGATATCAAGGAACGGTAGGCCGACCTCGACCGCCCGGACGACGAGATTTGGATTCCGCGTTCGACATAGAGATACGGAGTTTCTGGTTGGCTTCCTCCAGCTCGCGGGTCTTCGAGCTCCATCGGATTTTATCCTCAGTTCTTTTCCTCCGTTCCTTGTCCAGGGCTGCACGAAGTTTTTTGAAGTTCTCCTGAATCGATTCATCAGGCACGGCGGGACGAGGCGTACCCTGGTTAGCTTGTTCGAGTTGGCGCGTCAGGTCGTTGATCTGGGCATGCTGGTTTGCGACGATAACGTCCTTCTCAGCCAGAGCGGTGGACATCGAACCAGGGTTACCAATCTGGCGCTTGGGAATCTCCTGCGTACTGCCGGTCTCGAACACTTTGTACCTGGCCAAGCGATGTTCCAAGATTTTGATCGTTCTCTGATTCGCAAGCGTCTGGTCATAGTGTCTCTTGGCGTCTCTCAGGGTAATACCGACCTTGTTGTTGCAGTCCTTGAGTTCCATTTCGAGACCGCAGGCTATATTACGAGCTTCCTCGGTAGCGGAGCGTTCCTGCTCGACAGCCAAATCGCAGGCACTCTTGAGGTCAGACATTGACTGGTGGAGACGAGCTTGGTTTTCTTCCGACTGGGTGTAGTATATTTCGGCTTCCGCACGCGACATATTCGCCGACAAGTTGATCGAAGCAATCTCGTGCTGCTGGTTCATTACTGAGTCCAGTGCGGCGTCTCGTTCCTGGCGGACTTCCTCCAAGGAAGCGGACAGCTCATTACAACGGACAGCAAGTTGTTGATCCTCTTGGCCCAACACTTGGTCCATTGCGGCGTCCACCTGCAGCATGGCGGCGTCCCGCTCCTGGAGGGCTGTCCCCAAAGCGATAGCCAGCTCGTTACAGCGGACGGCAAGTTCTTGGTTGTTGTTCGAAAGATGATGTTGGCGGTCGAGGAGCTCCTGGTGTTGGATGGCGATGTTTTGGTGTTCGTCGATCAGTCGTCGGTGCTCTTCAGCGGACTGCTGACGCTCTTCGGTGAGTTTCTGACACTGAGCGTCCAGTCGCTGGCGCATGTCATCGAGAATCTGACGTTCTTTGACAAGACGCTGTTGGCCAGAGGTCTTCTGGCGTGGAGACGTGAGCTTTTTACGTTCCTGGATCAGTTGCTTCTGTCCGTCGACAAGTCTCTGGCGCTCTTCATCAAGTTGTTGGCGCTCATCGGCCAGTTGTTCGCGCACGCTTTCAAGACGTCGATGTGCTTTGAGAACGCGGTGGCGATCTTCAACAAGACGCTGGTCTTCCGAGGGCTTCTGACGCTTAGACGCAAGCTGTTGACGTTCCTCGGCCAGTTGCTTCCATTCGTCAATGACTTGCTGGCGTTTTTTGGCAAGTTCCTGGCGGTTGCCCTGTAGGCACCCCTCAGCGACCTTGAGCTGGCCACCGATCTTGAGAATCTGCTGACGCAGACGGCAGTTACTGGATAGCTCGCGCTGCTGCGCGTCGACGGCTTCGTTGCGACGGGCGGTCAACTTTTCAACAAGAGCCCAGCCCTCTTCCTGGCGTTGCTTCGAGGCGTGGAGTTCGGCGGTTTTTGCAGCCAGCAGCTTGTTTTTCTTCGCAAGCTGGGCCTTCTTTGTGGCCAGATCACCTTCGTATCCGTTGATCATGTCCCAGAGGTCACTTTCCGTCTGCGTGAGCGGCCGGGGTCCGTCAGATTGCGGATCTTGTCGCAAGAGGACGGCCATGGCGCGCTTGAACGCAGTTGTCTCTGGATGGATGGTGTATGCCACTGTGGCCATGATGACAAGCGAGATCACGGAAGCCGCGACGATGATGGCGTGGTAATGGTCAATCTCGCTGTCGTCATTGAGCAAACGGCTCAGTAACTGCCAGTCGCTCGCAATAAGGTTTTCGCGTAAATTGAGACCGGTTTTCTCTCCAAGGCAGTAGTAGCCATCATACAGGGCACGCCGGAAAAGCCGACCTTCGAGGTAGTACCGCGACATTGCACTAGGGCAGTGAAACGAGTGTATATCGGAACTCCAACCGTCAACCACTCCAGAGAGATAGCGAGCGGCTGGGACCAGCACACTTATATACATTGTCAACCCACAAACCCACGTCGCAAACAAACGACAGGACGCTATGATAGGGCGGTTAAAGGGGAAGTACCATTCGACAATCGCAGAGGTTACATGGTATGGTCTGCTATCCATTATCCATTTGGTGAAACGCTCTCTGAGAATTTCCAGCGCGTCATCACGAGACAACAAAAGGCGAATTGATTCCAGCGCGTAGCAACCCAGCAGAGACATTGCGGTCTTGATGGGAGAGGCGATGAATTTGTTCGAGCCAGCACAGATGCAGAAAGAGATGGTTTCCCAAGATGCCAACACCAAAGTGAGGAGTATGAGGGTCGCAAGAATGATGGCAGAGCCTGCTGTCAGGTCGGCGTAGGCAATGATGTTCATCAGAGCTTCTGGGAAAGGTGGATCTGGTTCGACTTCCCCCCAGAGAAAGACTTGCTCGAAGGGGGTGGCCATGGTTATGAATCGAGATGCAATCGAGAGGACGGTGGAAAGAACGGTAGTGAGATAGAGGAAGGTATCAAGGAGATTGTAATGCTGCTGGAAGCAGGATGATAGTTGGTAGACGGTGATGATGATGAAGCGTAGTGGAAGAAGATGGAGAGGGAAGATGGAGAAAAGAGGGTAGAAAAGAAAAGATAGTAGAGCATTTATAGATGAATGCGCGAGTACAAACGGCGTTCGAGAAAATCGAGATGCTCAGTGAATGCTTCTCGAAGGCAACATACAAAGCAAACAAACGGCTATCTACGAATTTTGATTGGACCAGCCAGAATGCATTCACCAGCTCGAGGCTGATATTAGGGCTTGACTGGTCAACCCGCGATTATAGTGGAAGTTGCCATGAATATTCATACGCTAATTACATCATGTTTTACTTGAGCTAGTGAATGATTATCAAGCCAAATGATCCTTCCTCATAGTTAGCATATCGCAAGGTAGGAACGGGGAGTTCATATGTTATTGTGGAATCTATCGAGACGTCTCTTGAACGACATCATGAAGATGACTAGTAAGCGTATAACTCGTTAAGCGGTATAGGAATGGACAGACCCTGGATAGGATATCAGTTCTTGGTCAATACGATATCTTTGATGCAATATGTTTGCATGAGGTACTCAAACTATGCAAATTTGTCACGATATAGTTATATTCCGCTTACTGAGGCCCAATGGCTTCTACACAACCGTAGCCCCGACTTATAGACCATATATCTATCATAAGCTAGCTTTCTTTTCCGGTGAGTAATATTTAGTAATGGTGATAATAACAATGACATTAACTAAAAATAATCCCTGTCGAGGGAAGCGCTAGTAACTAGTTACAGACACTTAGGGTTAGCGACGGGATAGGCACACGTTCGGGAGAAGACAACCGCTCCTCTAAACACACATAAAATATAACTCTTTCAGTAGTATACAGTAGATAATACAGCCTGAATAGCATCTAATACCTGCCATCCATGCGAAAAGACGTCCGGATTAGGTCTCTTGGCGTAACTAGGAGAGATCATATGATGCCTGAGGTATCAGGTATTCACTGTGTGATTGGTCCAGACCCTCGCCGCCTTCAGCTCGTCTCAACCTCAACTTCTCCCTGATTTCCTCGTTCTCCCCCTCCCTATCAAGCATTCCATTTCTCTTCCTGCAGAGTTCCATCGTGAATCGTCCATTGTGCTCTTTTGGTTGACATCTCACTGCTCTCTGTTCTTTCTAGTTTCTTATAGAGGCTATCCGCAGTCGCACGTCATTCACCAGAGCACAGTCGGCAGTTTGCCCCGATCCCGATAGTCTGCGCGTCGAAAACGGTCCCGATCCTCCTGCGGCGCAGCGTACTTTCGATAGTAGCTTGTTTTATCGTCGCTCCGTCCTTTTACAGTCTCCACCCTCCGCCAGTCGTTCAAATTACGAGGAAAATTTCGGAAGAAATGCCCGTCCAGTAACGCCTCCTTCCGTCCTGCCTTTTCTTCCCGCACGGTTATGGCTATACCTGCTGGGAATCGGTATATGGCCTCCAGGCCTATCATTCTCGGTCTGGCTCGCGTGTTTTTCCTTGCGTTATGCCAATTGCCTCTCATTTCCGCCGCTCCGACCAGCTACTCCCCGTCTCATCCGTTTATCAGTATCTCCGAAGCGTCCTCTAAACCCGCCAATGATCCCGGTCTATGGCTTTATCTAGGAGTAGCCGCTGCTCTTGTCCTGAGCGGTGGCGCTTTTGCCGGTTTGACAATTGCTTTGATGGGTCAGGTAGGTTCACACCATTTTGTGCGATCGTCAGGAACAGGATGAGGATATTGATACGATTGTGTCCATCTACAGGATGAAGTCTATCTCCAAGTCATTCAAACTTCGGGCGAAGGCTCTGAGCGGAAAAATGCGGCCAGTGTGCTCAATCTTTTGAAAAAGGGAAAGCACTGGGTTCTGGTTACCCTACTCCTCAGCAACGTGATCACCAACGAAACTCTACCCATTGTTCTGGACCGATCGCTTGGAGGTGGTTGGCCAGCGGTTCTGGGCAGTACTGTCTTGATTGGTACGGTTCCTGCATATCTTATTCGTGCGACCGTTTGTGTGATCATATCTAACCGCGAACGCTTTTTCTAGTCATCTTCGGCGAGGTTGTCCCACAGTCGATATGCGTCCGCTATGGTCTTCCTATCGGAGCCTGGATGGCGCCCGCTGTCTTGGCTCTAATGTATTTCATGTCGCCCATCGCTTGGCCTGTCGCCAAGTTACTCGACAGGTTGCTGGGTGAAGACCATGGCACTATTTACAAAAAGGCCGGGCTGAAAACGTTGGTCACGTTGCACAAGACCTTGGGTGAAGCCGGGGAACAGCTTAACTCTGATGAGGTCACCATAATCAGCGCGGTTTTGGATTTGAAGGAGAAATCCGTTGGCAGCATCATGACCCCGATGGACGATGTTTTCACAATGTCTTTTGACACCGTCCTCGATGAGCACACGATGGATATCATTCTTTCTCAAGGATACTCCCGCATTCCGATCCACGCTCCAGACAACCCTCTGAACTTTGTCGGCATGCTGCTCGTGAAGATGCTCATCACCTACGACCCTGAGGATGGCAAGAGAGTACAAGACTTTGCCTTGGCCACGCTCCCGGAGACCCGTCCCGAGACTAGCTGCCTGGACATTGTGAACTTCTTCCAGGAGGGCAAGTCACATATGGTGCTTGTTTCCGAATACCCCAGTGAGGATCGTGGAGCGTTGGGTGTCGTGACACTGGAAGACGTGATCGAGGAGCTGATTGGAGAGGAAATCATCGATGAGTCTGATGTCTTTGTTGACGTCCACAAAGCGATTCGACGCATGACGCCGGCCCCCAAGTCCCGTGTCCCCAAGGGAAGAATCGTTGAAGACCCCCCTTTCAATACAGTGCCTCAGGGCGAGTTAGTCGATATTGATAATGAAACCCAATCACCTTCCAAGAAAGATGTTTCCAACCTCCGCCGGCGCTCTCTCGAAGCTCCTCAGCCCCGTTTCCAACTGCGCAGGCAAAGTACGGGCAGGGATTCGGAGTGGAAAGGTAATTTGGTCACACAACGTGGCGCGACAGACGAAATTCGCGAGCATCTCAAACACTTGGGACCGTCAAATTTGGCCAGTCGGCCGCGTCAAACTCGATACCAGAACGTGAAGATCAAACGTGGTAGCATGTCTCCCTCCCGCCCGGGACAGATAGAATTCGATTCGAGCCAGAGCAACTCTGAAGCTGCTTCGGCCCAGCATGCCACGGTGGGCTTGGCTGGAGGAATTGGCGCGGGAATCTTGCAATCTGCCGGGATGGATGCCAGTGACGGTGTCCACGCCGTCAAATTGGGTTACGGCACCATCGCGCCTATGGTCGATCGATCCAAAGACACGCCCACCCCTCCAAAATTGAAAGACAACCCGCAATTATCGGTTCCGGAACCTGTCAGCGAAGAGCAGGATGACCAGCCCCGCCCACCTCCGTCTAGACAGGGAAGCGCACATGATAGCATCCGCTCAGGGAGTTCGCAGTCAGCCAAAGCCCTGAAACCCGGTAATTATGTGCACCCCGGTCCCGCTCGCAGTGGCAGTATCACAGAGCAGGTGATCGACGTCAACGGTATCCGTAAGGTTGTCCTGCACACGACCAGCTCATCAGAAGGCGATGAAGCACAAACCAGCCCGCCCACTACCGGCAAAACAGAACCTCCTATCCAGCAGAGCGCTAAGGCCGACGACAAGGCATCTAATACAGGCACGAGTAGCAATGCTGCAAAGAAGAAGCGTCGACGAAAGAAGCGTGCTAATCAGAACAAGTCTACTGATGGCGGTTCAAACGAGCAGCAGCCTCTTTTGTCTTGATAGAAGAACTGTTTTCGCTGCTTTCCTTCTTTGTTGATCGCTACATTTTTCTGACTTCGTTTTTTCGATTTGTTCCATAGCCAATTTGCAGTATGTAAGAATAGCTCTTTGCGGGTATTTAAAATGGTGGATATGCTCAAAACTACACGCCCGATCTGATTTGCTTTCTCTTCGTTCTTGTACGATATCGTTATCTAGTCACTTACCTGATGCATGCGGAAGAGGATTGATTCAATTGTACTTCGCTTCCTTGCGATGGAATCCGCTATGGCTATCTACAAACCAGTACTGTTACCAAAATGCATTCTGCTGCAGGATAATATGTTGATTTTGAATTCAAGAAAAACACTTTTTCATTTCTCATATGGGAATAAACACCATGCTCCTCGAACATAAACACTCAAGGAAAAGACATATGCAGGATAGAGAGAGGGATTCGTAAACAGATAAAACGTAGAAACATAACAATAATGGTGTAAAAGAGACCACCATGAGAAACCAATTTCCTCCACTTGCGCACAGGATCATTGCAGGAGGGGATCCTAGAAAGTTTGTTAGTCAAAGAGTACATATATGAAAGGAAAAATGGAATACATACCCGGTAGTGCTTCTGGTGGTTAGCAGCCCTGTTAATACGGGCACGGTATCTGAATTCTTGTCGCTGAGCACGATCATTCTGCTTGTGCTCGGTCTTGGTAACGGTCCGTCTCTGCTCCTCCGGAATACCGACCATGCCCGAGCCACCGTTGGCGCGGGAAACAACCGCGCGGTTGAGGTTGCGGCCTCTGGGCTTGGGTTGTTCGGGTTCGATCTCGCCGTTTTCAATGGCGAGTTGGCGTTCTTCGCGTTCAGAGGGCGTCGGGTAGTTGTGCAGGTTCTGGCGGTAGTACTTGGCGAGGGAGCGGTGGCCGACTGTACGGCCGGAGGGGAGGTGGAGTTCGAATTCGTCCTCGAGGACGACGGCATTGTTCTTGCGGCTGAGGGCCAGTTTCTGCTCCTCTTCTTCTTCGTCTTCGTCGACGGAGGAGGCGTCGGTTTCCCAGCCGTCGTCGTCGCCTTCTGATGTGACCTTGACGCCGCCTTCTGCGACGTCGCTGGTGGTCGATTCAGCGTCATCGTCGTCAGAGTAGGTGCTTCTGAAGTCGTAGTATTGGCCGATCTCGATCTGTTCGTCTTCGGTTTCGAAAGCAATCATGCAGTGGCCCTTGTCGCGCATGTGTGTGCGGGCGCCAGCGGGGTTGTTCCGGATTGCGTGACAGTAGAGACATTCGTTGTTCTCGTTGATCTTGCGGTACAGCCATTTAATAAGACCTTCAGGGTTGACGAGGTAATCCTTCTCCGGGATGAACATGCCGTGGCTCTTGAGCATGTGCTCGATGTTGGTGTTGATGTCGGATTCCTTGTTGTTGCAGAACAGGCAGCGAGATGACGAGTACTCTCCGTTATCAGGCTCCTCTTCTTGTTCATCCCCCTCTTCAATCGTTGCTGCCTTCAGGCTGTCGGTAGCCTTGGCGACATCGTCATTCTCTTGGGTCTTGTTAATCGGCTCTCCAAGCGAAAAGGTCGAACTCATAACTGAGGAGGCATCATCGGCGTGCTCCTTGCTCATCCGTGCCTCGCGCGACTTGTGTTTCGAGCTCTTGATGTGGTTCTGACACGAGTTCTCGCTGTAGAATGTCTTCTGGCAGGCAACGCAGGTCTTTTCGAAGGATGCCTTGGCAGCCGCGGCGGTGGATGAGGCTTGGACAGCGAGGACTTTCTCGTTGAATGTTGGCAGCGAAACGGGGGGCAGAGAGGCGACACGGCGCTTGACATTATACAAGCTAGCGAAGTTAGTATCATCATGTATCTTGGGGATATGGGTAGATCGACGTACTGCCAGTCTGTGCGCATGTGCTCACGCTGGACCTGGCTGCTGCGCCAAGCGACCAGGCAGGTGTTGCAGGTGTAAGGGAGGGAGGAACCGTCCATTTTAAGGGGATAATGTATTCTTTCGATATGAGATGGTCGATGAATGTTCGGTAGCGGGGTGGTTGAGTCTTGCGAACGATCGTCGTCACTGCAAGAACGGGAGGTGAGAGATGTAAGAGAAAAAAAAAAGAAAAGAAAAGGCAGCCCCGTCCAGAGATATTTCAAAGTCAATAGGTGCCTAACAGTGTGGTGAGTGCCTGGAGTGGCTGTTGACAGTCGAGGTCTGAATGAAAATCGAGATTTTCCTGTTTCGGCGGTGGCAATGACGTTCTGCACGTGCTATCCCGATCTGGTTTAGTCTCGCTTAGTAAATTACTTTACCGGAACATTGTATGTCCAGTTCCGATTCCGGGGAAGGTCACGTGCATTTGTGGCGGACCGCCGTGATGATGCCGGTAATGCTGATACAGACGATGATGATATCAGTCGTCAGGCTGTCTTCGTCGCTTTTGTTTGCTAGATTACCGGGCGGTGTTTATGTGGCTGGGGATTTTCTACGAACAGAAAACAGAGCATCAACTACTCCTGCCACTCTGGCTCCCGCGTCAGGCATGCGCCCTATTAGACCGCGAAGATGACCAGGCTCCGCGGAGCTTCAGTGAGTTCGCCAGACATTTCGCGCGACAGTCCGCAGTTCTACCGATCGAAACCCCCACCGAATACGCCGGAGATTATTGTTCAGAATACAGTCGAAGTGTCGCATCCGTCTCAGGTCTTGCCGTGGTATCGCGATGATCGACGGAGGCAGTTTCATCTGCTGGTTCGCAGGTGAGTATCCTCGGGCAAACAAATATACCAGAGCGGAGTTGCTGATAATCCTGATTACGACAGATATAAGAATCAAGTTCTCTACGGATGCCAGGATCCCAACTGCCTTATACCGACTTGTGCCAGTTACCGGAGGAGAGTTACCGAGGGGCCGTTTCGTCGCTACACCGAGTTAAGCGCCCGGACACTGGCTTGCTACTTAGCAAGCTTGGATAATGCGGAAAATGGCCTTTGTCGCAACCCCCCCAGATCTTCATGGGACTCGCCGCATGATGCCCCACGTCGATCTAGACGACGTAGCCGTGGACTTCCGGGACACGACCAGGCAGGGAAGCATGGGAATCCGATAGCACAACAGGAAAGTTGCTCTACAGATGTCGCGCAAACCAATTCCGATATACAAAAGTCTACCGATCAACATACGGCAACTCATAAGTTAAAAGACCCCAAGTCCTTCACGCAAAATCTTTTCGACACTCTGTCTTTGCGGATGGTCGAGTGGCTTCCTCTTCGGCGTCCGCATGATTCCTTCGATTCGCGTTCCGACCAAGCACCAATACAACCTGCGCCTCATTCTCCAAAACTAGACAGTCACCCCAGCAAACCCGACCCTAGAAAGGACGAGCGTCCCCAAAGTCGCAGATATTCTGGTACTCCCAGTGGGAATTACCGTGCTTATTCGCCGCGGACCCCAAGCCGTCAATCGGCTGCGGTGGAGGTAAAGCTGCCCAACCAACATGTAAAACGCCTTTCGCTCACCGAGTCGGATCAATGGTGTCAGGGTCCGCGGTCGAGCTTTGAAGAAAAGGTGCATCCGGAACGAAAGCCGACTAAAAGGCTTTCTATTAATGCGCATGCGACTACGAATGAATTCACCAACCTACCCTCGCCGCCGGCATTGAAACACCGCCCTCAGAAACATCGGGGACGAACGGGGGATGTCAACAGCATCAAGCCACCTGAGCGGCAGAAGAAGGAGAGACGCGTCTCCTGGGATGGATCAAAAGTTTTGAATGATGTCCAAAATATTGAGAATCGACAACCTCCAGCGGTGCCCCCAGAGCTGCCAATAGAGATCCAGTCGCCCAGTGACCGCAAGCCAAAGCACAAGCCGCAACCTTGTCGCAAAGAGACTGTGCCGACAGTTCAGACAGTCACACATCTCTCAAAGGAGATTGTTGATGGGCTAGGGCAAGTCATGATACAATCTGAGGAAGAGGCTCAACGGTGGAAAGAAGAACTTGAATATATGGAGCTCACCGGTAACTACGATGGTTCTGAGTGGTTTTCTGCAACACCTCGCCAGCAGCAGGCGTTTTCGTTTGTCGCTCAGTCAGTGTTCTATTCATTAAGCAGCCCGAGGCAAATCCTGCGTTGCTTTCGACAGGGCACCAATTTCAACAGCAACGGGAAAGACAAGTCACCACGCCTTGATTTTCGGGAAATCCAATCATCACTACGCAAACTCACCACATTATGCCCCTGGGATATGGTCCTACATAGCCTGTGGAGTGCCGTGGAAAAGTTATTTGTTCCTCCCAAGGAGTTGCCCATGTCGGGCAAACATTCGCGACGTTCATCGGCGACTTCGAGCATAGCAGCACCCGTATCAGCTCCCATACTCGTGCGTCGAACATCTGATTTCATTCAGGAAGAGCACGTCACAGATGCCAACGCCGCTCATATAGTCACGGTTGCGCTTTTTGCCTTGGCCGGATCGCTTCCTGAGGTCGACGCTTCAACATGGCGAGGCATTCTCCGGATACGTGCTATTGGCACTGTAGCTCCGGATGCCGAAATGCGGAAACTCCCGTCTTCAAGTGCTGAGCTGGTCACGGAAGTCACTGACAAATTCGAGCATGGCCTTGCTCTCCGGCTTGCGAATCGCCTTGTTCGCGCCTTGACGGCGCGTTTAGCATTCCATGAAATTTCCAAGGCACGCGATTATACCTTTGCGCCCAAAAGCAACGTTTTAGACTTGATTGTGGATAATCTCAGCGAACAGTACCTTACCACTTGTCCCACTGAGTATGGCAAGACGCCCACTAGCCAGTCGCCAGGTGCTCCTGCGATCATTACAGAGTGGCTTCGTACACTTTTGCTTCGCGAATGGGACGGGAATCCACAAGTCCCACGAAGCAGCGTCGTTGGAGGCGCCATGCAAATTCTTTCTACGCTGTACAAAGAACGGGATCGTCTTGGTCTTGTCCCCGAAGACTTCCACACGCCATTTTTCGCAGAGAGGCTAGATCCTCTGGAGATGCCTGTGGAATGGTTGGGGACCATGTCTAATAATAACAAGACTATGCATCTGTTGTCATGCTCGTTCTTGTTCCCTCCGCCAGCCCTAGTCATCTACTTCCGTGCTTTGAATTACTCCGTCATGTCTAAATACTACGAGTCCGCGATGACTACGACCCGTCACGTCACTCAGACGGCATTTGGCGCTATCCACGTCAATGACGATGTATCCCTGCTGTCGAGGATGAAGACGTCCATGTCGACGTACTTGGTCCTCGTCGTGCGGCGAGACAACGTCGTTACGGATGCAATGAATCAGCTTTGGCGGCGCGAGAAGCGCGAGCTGATGCGTCCGCTGAAGGTGCAGATGGGCATGGACGAGGGTGAGGAAGGTCTCGACCACGGTGGTGTGCAACAAGAGTTCTTCCGAGTGCTTATGGCAGAGGCTTTGGATCCATCGTACGGCATGTTTACCGTGGACCCGCGTACGCGGACTTCATGGTTTCAGCCATGCTCGTTGGAGCCGCTTTATAAATTCGAGCTTCTTGGGCTTTTGCTGTCGCTCGCGGTGTATAATGGTCTAACCTTACCAGTCAACTTCCCGATTGCCTTTTACCGCAAGTTGCTTGGCCTCAAGGTGAAGCACCTGGACCAAATTCAGGATGGCTGGCCTGAACTGGCCAAGGGGCTCGAGGGGCTCTTGACATGGCAGGAAGGCGACGTGGGAGACATCTTCATGCGAACCTACGAGTTCAGCTTTGAAGCATTCGGGCGCGTGGAAACGGTTGACATGCAGCGCGTCGATCGAGACGCCATGTGGCCGCTGCCTTCGAGATCCATGCCTGTTGATGGGAAATACTCGACCGCCTGGTCAGACGTTCCACACTACGGGGACCGCGCGAACCCGAGTCCGCCATCCTCGATGGCTGCCGAAGCGACGGAACTTATGTCCTGCGAATCGTCACACGGTGACTTTGCTAAGTCCATGGAAGGCTCGATATCGATACAGTCTCCGACACCGCCAGCTGAAGAAGCGTGTCTCGTGACGAATCGGAATCGGCATGAATTCGTTAAGGACTATGTCTTTTGGTTGACGGATAAGTCGATCCGGCCGCAATACGAGGCGTTTGCGCGAGGGTTCTATACCTGCCTCGATCGATCTGCTTTGTCAATCTTCACCCCGGAGGCACTAAAGACGGTCGTCGAGGGAATCCAGGAGATTGATGTCAAAGAGCTCGAACAGCATGCGCGGTACGAGGGTGGATTCGGTCCGAGTCATCCTGTTGTTCGGGATTTCTGGAGCATCACGCAGAAGTTCTCAGCAGAGAAGAAAGCACAACTCCTGGAATTTGTCACGGCAAGCGACCGCGTGCCTGTTAACGGGATTGCGAGCATCATGTTCGTTATCCAAAAGAACGGAGTGGGGGATGCTGTAAGTTTTCTTTCCCTCTTCCCCTTCACATTCCCAGTTGATCTCCCGCTAATTTGAGCAGCGCCTTCCAACCAGTCTTACCTGTTTCGGCCGGCTCCTCCTGCCGGAATATTCCTGCAGGAGCGTATTGGAAGAGAAGTTGAACAAGGCATTGGAGAATGCCCGGGGCTTTGGCGTTGCATAGTTGGTTCATATATTTTCGGCATTTCAGCATTATTGGACATACCCATAGTGTACATTTAGTATATTTAGTTGGTATATAGAGGCGACAGGGGCTTCTTCGCGAGTAGTATCATATTGAATTCAGGGTTCTCAATCCAATGCTTTAATGGAAACCAAATTATGCTGTGGGGTGTAGAATCCGGGGATGGCGGGCAGCTGTGGTCCGGCCTGAGTCAGAATCGCCTCGGGGGATTTCATCACTCTGGCATCGTTCCCTTATTCTTACTTTGGTCATAGTTCTTCCAGGACAGCAGGTTCCTGAGAATTATACTATCTTGGTGGATTCATCTCCTGAATACTTAATTCTTTATCTCTTCATACCCCGCTACCAGCCCCTCATCCCACCATGCCTCCCGTCATCCACCTAGTCCGCCATGCGCAGGTACCTCCCATAACCCATCTCCCCCCAAAACCCATAAAACTGACCAGAAGCAACAGGGCGTCCACAACCTCACAACAGCAAACCACATAATCCACGACCCCTCCCTCACAGACCTCGGCCACGAACAATGCCGCACCCTCCGCCACGCCTTCCCCTACCACGACCGCATCGAGCTCGTAACCGCCTCCCCGCTGCGCCGAACCCTCTACACAGCGCTGCACAGCTTCGAGCCTGCCTTTGAAAAAGTCGATGGTGTGAAACTTGTTGCGCTGCCGGATGTGCAGGAGACTAGTGACGTTGCTTGTGATACGGGAAGTGACCCGGAGGTTTTGGAGAGGGAGTTTGTGGAGAAGGGGTTGCCGGTTGATTTGGGGTTGTTGAGGGATGGGTGGAATAATAAGTTTGTTCGTTCTTTTTTTTTTTTTTTTTTTTTTTTTTTTTTTTTTTTTTTTTTCTTGCCCTTTGGGTGTGGTTGTGGGAGGGGGCTAATGGGTAGTAGGAAGGTCGCTATAAGCCTACCAACCAGGCGATCAAGGATCGTGCCCGTGACGCAAGACGGTGGTTAAAGGCCAGACCCGAGAAGGAGATTGTCGTGGTGACCCATGGTGGTTTCCTGCATTATCTCACCGAGGACTGGGAGGATAGCTCTCAATACCAGGGTACGCCCCGCTTATCCTCAACACCAAATGTCCCTGTTCACTAATCGAACGCACAGGAACCGGCTGGGCCAACACCGAATACCGTACCTACGCCTTCTCGGAAGAAGAGCACCAAGACGACCTCGAAGGCTACTTGCTCGACGGTGACAACGCAAGTCTCGTCGAGACAGCGGACTCGCGCAACCGTCGCGGCAAAGACGGTCCCACTCCCCACCGCGAGCGCCAGAAGACGCTGTACAAGCTTGGTACACAGGGATGGGACGACCAGGGGTTGCAGCTTAGTACGGCGGAGAGAGAGGCTGCGAAGGTGCCGGGTGGGAAGGAGGTTGATGGGGTGAGGGTATAGAGTATAAAGAGTTATTTTTGGTTTGTCTTCATTATGCTGTTTTGGTTAATGAGGGATTGGGCTTGAGATAATAGAGATGAATAGATAATAGAGTAAGAAAAGATCTGGTCAATGCGAGTCTTTATGTGTTTTATCTGGATATCTTCGAGGTGAAGGGTTTCAGACAGAAATAATTCTTTGAGATGATTGTACAAAGCACCGACATCTTCTGCAACGTACAATTCCGTGTCACACAAAGAATAAAGTGACAATGGCCATTCATTCTCTTCGCACGTAGCAGACAAAAACTCGAGATTTGAGAGGTCTATAAGAACCTCGATGGGGTCGAGTTAAACAGCAGCAGATAGTCTTGTCTTGTGCATTGCGACTCTTATGCAATACTTGACCGGTAAGCCCCTTCGCTAGCTGGGACTGGACTGGTTTCTGTATAGGCATATAACTATTGGTCTTGGATTCTGAGGAAGGGTTGAGTATTGCTCGGGTGGTGCCAGGTTTGATACTATATTTTCTACTTCATGCACCATCGTACTATATAGACTATACTAACATTTTCTTAGTCTTATCCTTCAATATGGCAATCGAGATATCAAGGTCAGTGTTCTTCTCCCTGTCTCCAGCTAACGATCTTGCCCTAGACTCGGGTTGATACTACTATCTATATTTCTCTCCCGTCTCTTCTATTCCATAGACACTACTAACACTTACTTCGTACTGATCCATTTAATATTACAATGGCATTGTTCCGGTACTCGGTGCTCAGAAATCAGTAAGTCTTCTCCCTGTCTCCAGCTGACGACCATAGGTCCGGTTCATTCTGACCATGCGAACCAATGCGATCCCGGAGTACGGTGTACAAATCCATGCAAAAATAGGTACGTGTACCACCTCCGCTTGTTTGTTGGCTGACTGCATACAGAAGACACACCGAATACTTTTTTCTTCTTCCCCAGCAAGAGCTCGTACCTTACCGTGGTGCTAGGGTTCAGTAGTCTCCCATCCGCGGAGATGAAGCCAAACGAGCTCATGTCGTATATTTTGGAATAGCGCAATATAGGCAGTGACATATAATAGGCAGCCAAATTGACAAAGCATGCGAATGCAATTCCGTTATTTCCGGGCGCAGTTGTATATATTCTTTGTTTGCGGAGTACCTACGTACCTATATAGTGGGGGGAATGGAGTCAGCTGCACGACTTGCATACAACAACCGGTGAAGGCCGGCGCAGAGAGCATTGGATCTTTTCGTTAGTATTCCAACAGTCATTCTATTCAGACACCGGCAGTGAAATGCTGGAGCCTTCGTTATAAGTGACGAAGATCGATAAGATAGACGCTAAAAATAGCCGATCTGCGAGTGGCGCAGGGCGAGGTTCCTGTACGAGTACGGAGTACCACATCACGGCTCTCCATCTTTTATAACATCCACTCGTTCCTGTCACTATCGATTGACCTTTAACTGACGCCAATCGCATCGGGGAGCTATTCGTATTCCTGACACTTCTACGCGCGCGCGCAATATGCTCGACGAGAACCTCCCCAGTACGTATCTCTGCGTTCGTGCGCCCATGAGACTTCCCCAGCTAACAAACGAGAATAGCATTTTATCTCAAACATGGCCAACAAAAACACTCCTGGACCATCTACCTCTGCCACCACGGCGACGAACCCGCTCCAGCCTACCACCTCCGCTACCCCGACCCATCCTCTCCCTCCTCCAAAAACCGCTACGCAGTCGCCCTTTGCGACCCATACGTCCCGGAAATAATCTACGGCGAAGTCCTACTCATCCCGGAATGGACGCAGCCTTCGCTCTCCGCAGATGCGATCCGCGCAAATGGCGGCGTCACACCTCCCCCTGAACCTATCCTCCCGAGCCAGTTCGTTGTGCATTTATATAATCCGGACCAACAGATCATTGTGCGGTATAAGCCCAAGACGTGGAATAGTCCTGCGACGTGGGATTTTGAGATGCCGCAGCATACGTTCCGGCAGCCGTCGAGTTCGACGCTAGATCGCACGCAGATTGATCCTGCGATCGCGGATGTTACGCCGAAACTGCGTTTTGGATGGCGGAAAGATAGCAAGTTGTCCAAGGATTTGGCTTGTTTGTTATCTGGGAAAACGGCGTCGATTACTGAAACGAAGACGAAGAGTAAAGAGCCGGATATCACGATTTCGATCTTCAAGGGTCTGCGCGAGATGACATTATACGAGCCGAATTTGTATCGTGTGGAGATGGAGGATTTCAAGGGGTTGGAGTGTGTGTTGTTGCTGGGGGCGGTTACGATTAGAGATGTGTTTTTTACGTCGATTGAGAAGGCATTTTCCATTTCGCATGATGTGAAGAAACCGCAGAAGACCCCGCGGAATGCTCCTGTTGCTCCTGCTGTGCAGAAACCTATTCAAAAACCGGGTCCTAGTACTGCTGCTGCTGCTGCTTCTACTCTTTCCAACGACAATAAAGCACAACCACAACCTCAGCCTCAGTCTCAGCTTCAGCAACCACCGGCTATGTCTGGTGCATTAGTTGCGAATAACAAACCCCGCCCTACAGGTCAAGGCCCGGAACGACCACGGATTACTATTCCCCAGCAAAACAAGCCATTGCCAGAAGCCGTGCCCCAGCCCCAGCCCCAGCCCCAGCCCCAGTCTCAGCCTCAACCTCGTCCGCAACAGCAACAACAACCACAGCAAGTCCGTTTCTCCCCAGGTACCAAACCAGACGACGACCTCCGCCGCCAAAAGAAAATCCAAGAAGCAAACGACAAAGCGCGCCGCAAGAGACAAGTCGAAATCGAAAAGGAAACTAAGCGCCTACAGAAAATCTACGGCAGAGAGGAAGAGCAAGTGCGTAAATCTCAGCAACAGCGTCCTGCACAGCCCCGGCCTCAACCGCAACCGCAGCCGCAGCGTCAGCATCAGCCACAACGCCCGACTCAGCATCGTCCTACGCAATCACATCCGTCGTCATCACGACCACATCTTCCCCCTCGTCCTGGTCCTGGTCCCAGTTCAGGTCCGTATCTTCACGTCCCACCGTCACAAGCAGGTCCGAACCGACGACCCAATGCACATGCATCAGTCCAATTCCTACCTCTCCAACCACAACACGTATCCTCACCAGGTCTGCAGCAGAAGAAGAGCAGTTTCTTTGGATTGCGCCGGTCATCCGAGGAGAAGAATAGGGAGAAGTTGGCGAAGAAGCGAAGCTCGATGTTTTGATCTGTTTTCATTCCCGAGATTGTCTTCATATTTGCATTTGTTTCATTTTATACCCATGGCGTTGGTTGGCGTTTGGTTTTATTCATGGTAAAGACATCGTGCTCATTATGCATAGGCATAGGCATGCTTGTAAAAACAGCATAGGATTGCAATAAAAAAGTTGAGATGTTTCATTCGGATTGAGTATGCTTATGGCTCTTCTTTCTTCGTACTACCTATGCTCCCGATGATATCCTAAGCACCGTGGTCATTGTTGCTTCTTCCCCAGGCTATAATAGAAGCTACTATGACCAAGTCTCGCTTGTATTACAATGGACTGTTTGCTAAAGCTATCGGGATCTCACATCTATTCATTTTACTCATCTGTTTGCCTCACTGCCTCGATCAATTCCTTAACTTCACCAACTTCTTCTCCATCTCTGTTCGGTATCCATTCATACTTTCTCATCCTCACCATTCATAACCAGACAAACAAACTACATACGCATACGACAAACAATGCCCCAAACGACAAAACCCTCAGGAATAACCCCCTTCCTCAAAAACACCCCCTACTCCCACTTCCCCCCTCCTACAACACCTACTATAAAAAAACCCCTTTACCACACCCACCTCCTAACCCTCTACATCCTCCTCGGCTTTTCCACTTGCATCCACTTCTCCACAAAAACACTCCTCTGGCTAAACTTCCTCACCCTGGGCATCCTAATCCTCACAAACCTGCAAATGGACGAATGAATGGGGTGAGACGGACAGTATTTATTGGCCGATTATTGGGTTTGTGAAGAGAGAGGTTGTTGTGCAGGTTGGGAGGGAAGGGGAGGGGGGATTTGTATGATGTTGAGGGTGGGGGGGGTTGATGGGAGGTTGAGGATGGGAGGAGGTATGGGAAGGCTTTGGTTAGGTGGTGAGTGAGGGTGAGGGTGAGGATGGGTGAGGGTTTGGGGTTGGGGTGTGGTGTGTGGTGTTTATTGAGGCGAAAGGAGGGCTCTTGTTCTTCGATTTTCGAGATGAACGGGTGTATTTACTGGGGAATTCTATGCTAGGCACCATGGAGGTCGAAATGACATTTTTTCGGGGTCTATAAACGCAAAACCGTCCAATACCACAAGTCCTCAGCCTTCTTCGTGAAACATACATAGTACAACACCGTCTCTCCTCTCCTCCTCTTTTCCCTTCCTCACCACCCTCCAAAACCCACCCACCACAAAAAAAAAAAAAAAAAAAAAAAAACCCTAAACCCTCAAAACCGCCCTCCCATTCCAAATCCTCAAACCATCATGAAACCCCCCATTTCGAACTCCCTCCAGATTCAATTCCACCTCACAAGACCGAAACCCTATCAACGGAGCCCTCACGCTAACTGTCTTCCCGTCGTTATCAACAATCGTGCGCTCGAAACACAGGAATGGGTTCATTAGGAGGAGGACTACCAGGGTAATGAGGTGGTTTGTCCAGAAGAGTGTTGTTGTGGGGGGGGGTGGTAGATGGGGAGGATGTGATGTGTGCGCAGGCGAAGAGGCCGGTTATGGCGTAGGTGCCGAGGATGCGGTGGTAGTTTGGCATGCTGTAGTAGGTGTTTGTTGGGCGATGGTGGCTGTTAGGATCTCTGGATGAGGGAGTGTGGGTTGGAGTCATTTTGGTATGTAGTATTTGCTTTCTTTCGAGAAGTGGATGGTTGATGGTGAAGATGGATGATAGGAAGAAAGGAGGAGGGAGGGCTTTATGAACTTGAGTCCGGTGAAAGGTGACAAACAAAGAAAAGTAAGATCCCGTGGCCAGTATCCAGGATTGGTCGAGTATTTTCAGTGGCTTTGGTAAACAGCGGTCTAAATTACAATTACTACAAATGCCTGGTTTGTCTTATCCATAATGGCTACTGCTATAGGGGGAGAGTGCTAGGGTCTGGCGTATAGCTCACTAGGCTACTATGTTTGTCTTATTTGCTTGTCACATGGACCTATATAGGATGAAGTCTCTAACAGAACAAAGAACAGAACCGCAGCTGATAAAAGGAGAATGCGTGGTCAATTAATGCAACCACCATTCGATGGCAGCACCATCATCGGAGACCAGATTGTCAAGTCTGACTGGGAAGTAGAGAGACATCTGAATCATTCAAAACTCGTAGGCACTAAGCCTAGGCCTTGCTGAAGAATGCCGTAGCGAGTTTCGTATGGTCAGAATAATTCTGGATTGTTCGGTTAACAGGAGTCTCTGTCTCTTTCGTTATCGTATACTCGGAAGTCCGATTGTTTTCTTTCGCTTTCCGGCGGCGACATCCTCCATCTCCCGCGATAAGCGCTTTACTGCGTTGCAGACCATTTCGGTAATGAGCCGGTGTACGAGGAAGTGAAATTCGTTCGCATCTATTGGGGACGCTGACGAGTTGGAAGTTTCTGCTTTCAAAAATTCAAGTGAAAGTATCTTTGCATCGACATTGTATGTTCTGAGCACTTATACTCGATGCAATTCTACCTGCAGCAAGTAGGACCTATTTCCGACCTTCCACCAATGATATTCGCAAAAGTTTTGTGTGCTATTCCTCTTTGGGAAGGCGTCAAACAGCCGTGCAATTTCACTGGTTGGTTGCATTGCATAGAAAATGGCAGGTGAAAGCATACAACAATAATGCAGCAGCGAATCCACAACACCTCCATACCTCAACCACCTCTCTTGCCCTCTTCCCTCATCTTCCAAGCCACAACCACATCCTCTACCAAGATGTCCGAACCTCTCTCTCCTACGGAAGATCTCTCCTCTCTAACCGCCCCCGACTGGCCCTCTACCTACACCACCCAAGCTCTGGCTTGGTTCCGCGAGCTCCGTTTAAAAATATCATCCATAATCCACCGCCTCACCAAGACCCTCGAAGCAGCACTGCAAGTCTACCAGGAAACCAACTCGCAGGAACACCCACGCTATAGGGACCTACAAGGCGTCATCGACGTTTTCCAGGACTGGTTGCAAGATGATTTCATCGGCAAGACGCTATTGACGAAGGATTATCTGACTTCTGTGTGGATGTTTCTGGGTGCGTGCGTTGATATGGGTATCTGGGATATGGCCACACCGAGGGGGGCTTCTGCTGTTGTGCTGGAGGAAATGAAGGGCTTGAGGAAGGAGGTGCGGGAGATCGCTTCTGAGGCGCGTAATGTTGCGAGAATAGCGCAGGACGTTGCTGTTTTGCTGGAGGAATACAAAGAGGGACATGTCGTGGAGGAGATGTTTCCTGGTTTTGATTGATGCTTTGAGGGGGTTAGGGTGGGTTCCTTGTAGCTACGAGATGAAATGAGGCAAATTCATGGAGCTTTGGCGGTTGTGCTGCTCATACTAAGTATATTTCTGCTGTTCCGAACCGCTTCTTGCCAATGCTGAACACTGAATCAGGAATACAAGACGATTGCCGCCATCATGGCACTCTGATGGTACGCTGTTGACGTGCCTTCCTAATGAAGATTAGTCCACCTATCTCATTGGTTGACTGAACAAATACAACTGCATCGAGTTACCAGGTAAGCGCATACAACGCCGATGCAAGAATACTAACACCGACCCCATTGCACCTTCCGTTTCCACACCACTCCCACTTCCCCAGTTCATTCCTCTCTTCCCTCTCCCTCTCCCTCTCTTTCTCTTTCTCCGCACACCACATCCACCTTATTCTCTCAACTGCAAAACAAGACGATCAAAGGCAATTCTCAGTCAATAATGTCCACTCATCCCTGCGGTCTCATCGAAGGGCCCCCCGTCTCACCTATCGCAACCGCCCCAGACTGGACCAACACCCCCGACTCTGTCCTCTGGTTCTCACACCTCCGCCTCACCATCTCGAGCATCACCTCGCGCTCCATCACCATCATCAACGAAGCTCTCTAAGTTTATTAAAAGATTGATGATGACCATATTGATCGCTATCTCCACCTGCAACGCTCCCTCAGAAGGCTGCAGCGGTGGTGGGAACACACTTTCATCGTCGAAACCCAGATGACCAAAGAGTACCTGCGTGAAATGGAGGGGAAGTTGATGGAACTGGGCAAGGACCTTGATCCTAGGGATATGATTGCTGAGCCGGAGGTGCCCATTGCTGTGTCGAAGGAGATGAGGGAGGTGAGGGCTAAGGCGAGGGAGGTGCTGCGTGAGGGAGCATATATTGCTGGACTGGTGCAGGAGGCTTTGATTCGGTTGCGGGAGTTGGAGGATGGTCAGGTTGGTCAGGATATGTTTCCGATTTTGCCGGGTTACAGTGATGTTCTGCCTTGGGCTTGACGTTTGGATTCGGCTCGCTGGATGGGTGGGTTTTGCGAGAAGAGCTGATTATCATGATGCTGATTTACTATATTTGTATTAAGCACATTTATATCTTATTGACACTGTTGATGATCCAAAGCTGCTCAAGCAATGCTAATACTGGTTGCTGATGCTTTTAGAAGGGTCTGGTACGTGGAGATACGTGACTATCCTAGAAGTACTATTGCATCAAGTATAACTGGTGAGTATATACAAAAAATTATGCAAAGCTACCGGCAGCAAGCACCTTCCGTAATATGATGTTCTCCGGCCCCTTCCTCTCCTCCGTCTTCCTTCTATCCCCCTCTTTCAGCTCTATACAGCTCCCAACCACCAATGCTCAATGGATACATTCCAAGAACAATACCTATCCTTCATCCAAGTGCCCGACCAAACCGTCCCATTATCCGCCCCCGAATGGCCCAAAACCCACCATCCCCAGGCGATATCCTGGTTCAAGCACCTCCGCTGGACAATAACCAGCATGACCACCAAATCCATCCAAGCCATCGAAGCAGCCCTACACCTCTACGAAAAGACCTCCCACAAAGACTCCCCGCGATACACCAAACTCCGCGAATCCGTTCCGAGGCTTCTCGAATGGTGGGACAACTTCATCCCCGTGACGCAGCTATCGAGATTCTTCCTTCTCACCGTGGTCGAGTTCATGATGAGTCTGGGGGACTTGGTTAATGTGGAGGAAATGTATCTCACAAGTGGGGGCGTGGACTCGAATTCTGGTTTCGTGAGAGAGATGCTGGAGGTTAGGAAGAGTGCGCGGACGGTGATTTATGAAGGGTTTATTATTGGGAGGTTGGTGCAGGAGGCTGTCTTCAGGTTTGAGGATCTTGGGGAGGGGTATACTGCTGATCAGATGTTTGTGGGTTTGCCAGGGGGGTTTCCTTTTCCTGAGGGGAAGTTTTGAGTTGGATTATTATACTGGTGATAAATGTTTTTGTTTTGGTGGCCTTGTGGCCTTACACATGGACATGTCATTATGCAAATACCGGTAGAAGATGAATACATACATCATCAATGAAAATTCTTCTGTATTAAACCTCTCTTTCCCTTTCTCTCCTCCTTCTTCCTCTTCCTCTTCTACTCCACCAACTACTACCTCCCGCCGAGAGTCAACTACTTCTTCCATGCTCTATACTATACACTACATTATAACCCTACAAACCACCAAAATGTCCTTCTTGCTCCCCTTCCGCTCCAAACCCACCATGACCCCCCTCAACCCAGCCCCCCAGCCAACCCCGACCCCAACCCCAGACCCAGACAAAGAATACGAACACATCCTCGCCCAGCTTTCCGCCCCAGACTGGTCCGACTCCCCCCACGCCCTAGCCTGGTTCCACGACCTGCGCACCTCCGTCCTCGACATCCTAAACCGCCTCCTAACCATCTGCCAAGCAGCAATCATAAAATACGAAGCTAGCAACACAGCCGACAACCTGCACTACAACAACCGGTACAACCGGCTGACTACCTCCGTGGCGTTTCTGCGGGGCTGGTTGGACAAGGAGTTTCTGCCGGAGATGCGCATGACGAAGTGGTTCCTTAGGGCTGTTGATGATGTGTTTATGGTTAGGGCTACGGAGATGCAGTATGATATTGAGTATTGGATGGGGGGGTTGAGGGGGAAGGCGGAGGGGGTTGTTGGGGAGGGGCATGCGCTTGCGGGGTTGGTGCAGGATGCGGTTATTAAGTTGGGGGAGATGAGGGAGGGGGTTAATACAGCGCCTGGGGCGAGGGTTGGGGAGAAGTTGAGGGATGAGGAGATGTTTTTGGATTTGCCGTTGACGGAGGAGGATGTTGAGGCTCGGGAGGGTCTGAAGGAGGAGGATGTGGAGATTAAGGATGAGGAGATGGAGAGTGAGACTGAGACTGTTACTGAGGGTGAAGCTGTGACTGAGGCTGGGTAGGATATCCCTGTTCATAGTCTTGTGGCCTGATTTGCCTGAGGCTACGGATTCGACTTGATGATGTTCAAGGATTGGTCTGATGATCATGATTTGCTGTTGTTTGCTGTTTCTGTTCTCGTGTTCACGTAATATTTACTTGCTATACCCTATACCTAATAATCCAACGACTGTTCAAGTAACGTTCTCAACTCCTGCTTTTCAGCCTGCAACTCCTCGTTTAAGTTTGGTGCCAGCATCAGCACACGCTTCTGCGGCAATGTGCCCTCCACAAGGCCGTCTACATCCGACCCCTTGAATCCCAGATCCTTCAATCCGCGCGGCTGTCCACCAAGCTTCACCAGGAAATCAGCAATAGCCTCCCCAAGCACCTCACCGGCACTCTCGCGCTTCACGTTCGAAATGTCCACACCAAACGCTTCCGCAGCTGCCAAGTGCCGGTCTGGGTTCGATGCGGCTGTGAAACGGAAGACGGCTGGTGCGGTGACGGCGACGGAAACACCGTGAGGAATGATGGGGTGGGGGACAGCGTAGCCACCGTGTTTGTATCCCGGGTTCTGACTGGAGATCGGGTAACTCATGCCGTGGCAGAGATGGACACCTGCGTTACCGAAACCAACACCCGCCAGAGTTGCCGCGAGGAGCATCTGCGACTGCGCTTCAAAGTCATCAGGATCTTTAACAGCACGAGGAAGATACTCGACGCAGCTCTTGAGGGCTTGGAGGGAGAAGATATCGGAGATGGGGTTGGCGCCTTGGTACGCAGGACGTTGGATGGGATTTGCAGGGCGGGGAGTACGCTCGTTGTAAGGGATTGCGGTCCACGATTCAAGCGAATGGCAGAGCACGTCGAGTCCCGAGGCTGCCTTTACCGCAGGAGGCATTGTACGCGTGTTGATCGGATCACAGATACCGAGTGTCGGTTTCAGATTGCGGTGAGCGATACCCGTCTTAGCCTTCTTGGAGACAAGATCGAAGATGGCTGTTCCGGTGGTTTCAGAACCAGTGCCTGCTGTAGTGGGCACAGCAATAAGCGGCTTAAGAGGCTTGTTCACAGGCAGACCCTTGCCCAGCGGAGCGTTGACAAAGTCGAGGAAATCGGCCTCGGGGAAGCTAGTGTAGAGGTTCATGAGTTTGGCGGTATCAATGACCGACCCACCACCTTATCCATTAGCCATAAATCTTTTCAATGGGAGAAGAATCGACCTACCGACAGCAAGATACGCATCCGCCCCATACGGCTTCGCAAAATCAATCGCCTCCTTCACCGAACTATCTTTCGGCTCAATCCGCACTCGATCAAACACCGTAAACTCCACTCCCTCGTGACTCAATGCCTCCACAGCCTGCTTCATTGCATCCAGTTTTACAACATTCTCATCCGTAACAATGCACACGCGGTTCGCTTTCAAGTTCTTGAAATCCATGCCGACTTCCTTGGTGGATCCGGGGCCGAAGCGGATGCTCGAGGCGGCCATTTCAAAGGCATATTCTTTTTGTCGCGAGGGGTCGACTGGTGTTGCGAGATGGCGGGCGAGAGAGGCGGGGTTGTGGTGGCCGTGTTGAAGGTGGTGAAGGGGGTTTCCGTGGCAGGGACATGAGGGAGGGTGGGTGTATTGGACGGTGCGGAGGAGGGAGCGGGCTCGTGTGCCGGCTGAGGCGGGGATGCGGATGGACATGGTCACTTATTCTGGAATTAAAGAATGTGTATAGAGGAGAGAGAGAATGAATTGAGAAGTGAGAAGTGAGGAGAATATGTACTCCGGCCCCGGACTTATTGTAACGGCCGAGAATGCGGGGAATTGGAGATCGGAGAGCCGAGGTTGGGGTCACTAGTATGTATGCCGGTTAATGCGGTCCGCGTCGTCCGTGTGTATAAAGCTGAATAGACTACTGTACTAGAAAGCAACAGAATACTTGTACAAAGAATTGAGCCTATCTACCGTCGTCGATCTTTACATCACCGATTTACATCACCGAAACAATCCTCGGCTAGTCTTCATATCCGCGTCTTCAACCGACACATCAAGGCCGGTTTCTCCCACAATGTATAACTTTTCTGCTCTACCCAGTTTGCACTTTCACCGCAGAGCTCAAAATCAAAATTCCAAAGCACTCTTGCAAGGATAAGTCGCATCTCCGCAAACGCCAGATTCCTCCCGATACAATTCCGCGGGCCTGCCGAGAATGGCTGAAGGACGTCACGTCTGTCTGAGAAAAATGGCGAGGATGGGTTATTTTTGGCTTCTGGGAGCCAGCGTTCGGGGATGAATTGCTCCGGGCGGTGGAAATTGATCGGGGAGGCATAGGCTGCGGATTGGTGGACGGACACTGATGTCTGAACAAGGTTAGCTTCTCGTCTTTTCGAGGGTGAAGTGAACATACACCAGGTGCAATATCATATCCTGAAATCCGAACAGGCGCCAAAGTCCTTCGCTGCAACCCCGTCGGAACAGGAGGATACATCCGAAGCGCCTCCTCAAGACAAGCAAGCATATAAGGAAGCCTTGTAGCAACATTATTCGAAGTAATCTCAGCCTCCGACTGCATCATATTCCTCACCTCATCCATAACCTTCTTCATAACATCAGGCGTCCTAAGCAGCCAGTACGTCACCCCAGAAAGCAAAGTCGCAGTCGTCTCACTCCCCGCGATAATCAGAATATTCGCATTCCCCTCAAGCTCCTTAACAGACAACCCATCCTTCTCCCCAGCATGTCGCAGCATCGAATCCATAAAGTCCCCCCGATGGTACGCATCGGCATTCTGCAACCTCTTCGCAACAGTGCTCTTTGCATGCTCGACCTGTCTCTGTCTCGCGGCCATCAAACCCCTCGGCAACAGGAACGCTTTTAGCATCTTGAACACAACCGGATATGCATCCTTAAGCCTCACAAATGGGGTAACCTTGACAAACCCAAAAACCATCGTCACCCAGTGGTGGTACTCAGCCCTCTCCAGTCCCCCGAACGGCTCCCCGAACGCAAGATCCCCGATCACATCGAACGTCGTCAGATTATACCACTTCACCATATCAACCGGTACCCCCGACTCCGCAACACCCTTTAACCTCTCGATCAATTTATCCACATACCCATTAACAAGCGGCTCCTGCGCCTGCAACCCCTTCGCGGAAAACGCATGCGAAAGCGCCTTTCGGTAGCGACTATGATCCGCATCGTTCGAACTGATGATATCAGACGTAATACTGACAGACGTCAATACCTTTGGTAATTGCGCATGGCCATGTCCGTATATATCCTTCCATGCCTCGGGCGTGATGAAAGATACTTCTGCTCGGCCGAATCGGACTACCGTGCCGTATTGTTTATGGAAGCGGCGCATGTCGATGTCGAATCTGCCGCGGATGCCGGATAATTGGCGGAGGATAGGGAAGATTATCCATGATTTTGGACCGGGGATGTGGTGGAGGGGGTGGAGGTAGAGGTACCATATGGTAGACGTGAACAGATAGACAATACCCAGAGCTGGCATGAGTTTGAGGGCGAGTTCGAATAACATGATGAAGTTTACAAACAATACCAATAGTATAAAATAGAATATCTCAATAATCCAATGTAGACTTCGCCCAACCTCCGCATCTATATACCTCCCTTGAATTCACCTCCTCCGGCTATCTCTGCCGAATTACCCATACACATACATTTTTAGGGTAACCATTCCACGACCCAATGATCTCAGCGCTGATTCAACGTCTCGGAAACTAAACAGCATCGCAGGGGTTATTGTTTTCAGGGGAATTATCATTGGTAGGTCGGCAGACCCCCGCCGGACACTAGCGTTAGTGAAACCGGGCCATCTTCGGGAGTTTTTGGTGGCATTGACATTTGTGCATCGTATTTGTACGAAGTGGAGTACGGAGGACGGAGGACAGAGGTGTGGGTGGGCATTATTTGGATAATGTTGGGAGTTATGCAGGTTGGGATTGTATAATGGGTGGAGCGTGTCGGAAGTAGGTTTAGGGCTGTACTATCTATCTTTCATTGTATAGTATAGAGTGGGCATATTAGAACGCGAATAGTACTTTTGACATTGAATCACATTTTTAATATGCAGAAAGCAAAAATACCATATTATTTCTGAATTAGAAAACAGCAATCACAAAAGCTCAATCCATCAACCACCCATTAACAATCACCGACACTGACTTATCTCCGCACCCTCATTCATCCATAATGAACAAGATCAACAAAACTCAACCCTCAAATCCTCCCTCGCACCCACAACCCTAACCTGACTCCCTCTCGGCGGCACCCCATCCGCCCACCTCAACCCCTCCTCAACACTCGTCTTCCCACCCTTCTGCATAACACCAACCTTAACCTCAGATCCCTCAAACGGGTCCCCAAAAACATCACTCAGATCATACCACACCGAACTCGCATTCACGTTCAAATTATACGCGAAGATCGTCTGCGGACGGCCGGTAAACAACCCGTTCGGCGCAGTCGTTATCTTTAAAGCGACGCCGCCAGAGACAGCGTCGTGGCGGAAGGACTCGCGGTAGGAGTGGTAGGCCGGGAGGGTGTATTGTGGGGAGATGCTGGCGCCGACGGACCAGAGGTAGAGCGGGTAGGCGCAGGAGTTGCGAATTATGGCGTGGCCGCCGGTGGTGGTGTTGGTTGTGTTGGAGAAGACGGAGGGGTGTGCGGTGGTTGAGAAGATGCTGTGGGGGGGGCCGTGGTGCCCGCCACCGTGGTGTGGTGGGCGATGATGACCGCCTCCGTGATGGGGAGGGCCGCCGCCGTGATGACCGCCTCCGTGATGGGGAGGGCCGCCGCCGTGATGGCCGCCGCCGTGGTGTGGGGGGCCGTTGGTGTCCATGGGGGCGAGATCGCGGCGCTGGTGGGTGTTGGCGTCTTCGGGGTGCATGATGCTGTGTTTCAGGTTCATGTGGTTGATTGTGTTGGTGGTTGGGTTGAGGCCGTACATGCCGTGGGGCACGGCTAGGGCGAGGCCCAGGAAGAAGATGAGAAAGATGTTCATCTTGTCGGTCTCACTGTTTGTAGACTAGTGATTGTAGCTGTGTTGATGATGCTTCTAGTCGGACCCCGTGAGGTCTTATATCTTCCGATCCGACGAAAATTGATAAAAATGCACAAAGGAGATGCAAACGTTGCAGTACAACCGTCACGTTCCACTAGTATCACTATACAGATCGTCATATAATGGTGTAACATCCTGGTCACTATATACAATATTACGGCAAAGAAAAAAAAAAAAAAAAAAAAAAAAAAAATTTAAACACTCACAACCTCCGACGTCCCCAGAGGAACATCTCCCCGACGTGCCACGACCTGCATGTATCCACCGCTCTTGACACCCGTCAAATGCGCCACCGTTTCAAATCCAGTGCGTTGCTGCGTCGCAATCACTTCACTGTCGGTGGAGTCCGGAGACGGCAACGACATCACTGCCCAGTTGTCATACTCCGTGGCTCCGTTCCAGCTCATAAACACGTCTGCCACGTCGGACGACGGCCTCTGCACTACCGCCGCGGGCTTCCAGAACGGAGTAGCCTTCCAGGGGCACTTGTAGCCACGGTACGACGCAACCTCATTGTCTACGCCAAATTGAGCCGTGAAGACAGCATTGTTGTTGGCATCGAATTCCTTGACCTTGGAAATCGAGCCGTAACCCATAAACACGTGCTGCGACTCCTCACTCATGAGCTGGTAGCTGCCCTGACTGACACTGTGGATGACATCGTCAGAGTCGCTGAGAATGCGGAGTGCCTTGACGCTACGGTTCTCCAGGTCAACAGCCAAACTCACACCGGTGGTGGCACCCTGCTGTTCCGTTGGGGTATTGGCGTTGTTGAACAGGTCCATAACCAGTCCCTGCTCGGTGTGGTTGTAGATGCGGATATCGTGCTGCCACGAGAAGCCGGCAGACTCGTCCTGCTTGAAATCACCCTCACCCAAGGCCCCGCTCAGCTGCCACATAATACTTCCGTTGTTGTGCACATAGTAACCAGACCAGTAGTGACGGAGGGAGATCATGTATCCTTCGTCCATGCGCTCGACAGCGTTAATGTGGTAGGCATCCCAGGGGTTCTCCTTCACACCGAAATCGGCACCGAGACCCTGCTTGGACTGTTCCAGCGGGATCTTGTCGAGGTGGTCCAGGGCATTCCAGGAGTGTATAATTTCGTTGGTGGCGATGTCGAGTTCGTAGAACATGGCGTCTAACATGAACATATCCGGATTTCCACCAATGGAGGTCAAGTCGTGCGGAGTGACGTTGTAGGCGGTCACGAGCAGAGTGTTCTGCTTCGTAATGTGGCTTTCGTGCAAGTCAATGTACGATTCACGGGGCTGGCCATCGGGAGTAACAATGTCGTCCTGCAGTCTGACCGTGTAGATTTCGCGATAGCTGTTATCGAGAATGTGCACAGTACCATAACCGTAGCCCAGTTTCGTCATGTCTCCGGCCCAGAAGGTGATAACGTCCTGGTTAAAGAGACGCTGGACCTTGAAGTTGGCGGTGACCTCCTCGGGTCCCTGGTACACGAGGTTACCATCTTCATCGTAAATAAGGGCAGCAGTGCCAGACTGCTCGTTCCCACGAGGACCGATAAAGAGGTAGCCGGGGTCGGTAGTGCCAGTCTTGGAGACTTCAAGTTGCGGCGGGCGGAAAGGCGCGGTGGCGGCGGTGAGATATGGCCAGTCATTAGCCAAGGCGGAGAGAGAGAAAAAGAACGTGGCACCGATGGTTGACCAGCGCATGATTAAATTATAACTATAGTACAGTATAAAGAATGACAAAGAAACTAAAGAATGACGAAAGTGGGAGGGGAGATGGTGCAAGAGAAGAAAAAGACACGGAGCAGGTTATAAAAAGAAGAGAACCAGGGAGGCACGGCTGGTTGAAACGGGACTGGCGACAGGCACGGCAGTGATTGTCTGGATCGGCAGAGGCAATACCTACAGGCTTACGACTGCCAGGTACGGGTACAAGAACTTCCTTCTACACGACTGAAAAAGTACAGTAACTACCCCGGATAATAGAACGTGTCGGGGATATCATAGTACTGCTACATCTCACTGAGATATACCCCTGACTTTATTGACACTACCGGGGGTCTATGCAAGCCTAGAAAACATCTGGTCCTTCGTTCCTTGGTTCCCCGATGGCTGGACCCTGGATTTCCTGTTCTGGAAAACTATAAGACTGGTCATGTGACTTTTATGGTGCCTGAATGAGGCATCACTTCCATTTCAGGCAGAAACACTATGGACATCTCAGGGAAACCTCGCCCAGAGTATGGACAAAGGATATCAATGATGCTTTTCTTGTTGAAGATGGTATATCTCAAACAGGTCACCAATATTGTTCGAGCCCAGCCGGCATCCGTCACCAGATGTTTCTCCCGTTCCCATTTCGGCTGCGAACGAGTCTTCAAAATAAGCATAGCTGGCAATGCGCACATCTGTTCGATACTCGTCGTCCGGGCTAGAAAGATCGCGACATCCATGGTGCTATTGTGATTTCCCATCGTATGATCTAATCGATGTTGCTTGGCGTGGTAGAGCCAACTGAAACATACTGCTTGGGCTGATGATGGTATGTTTGTATATATTGGACGTGAGAGAGGGGTGTCTTGCTCAAGTGCCCTCGTTTGTTCAATACCATATGCAGAAGGAGGAGCAGCAGAAGACACGGATTCACAGTATTCCTGATACGAAGCGAACGACTGGAGCGAGCTATTGTCATGCGAATTTTCTCGGAACACGATCCATTTCGGGCAATGTTCACATTAACTGTCTACAACTACGCTCTGATTTACACCGTCCTACGGCATCAAAGGCTCAAATTCAGTGGTCAATTGACATTTTATGTCAGTGCAGTTATGGCATCATTGACAAATATGGCGTGACTCTGCGGTGTACGGCACCGGTTGGCTCTTAGCTTTTATTCCCTTATCATCCAGAAAGGGCTGGATATTGCCCGTCATATACCGGCGCAGACTACTTGAGAGTATTGGAAGAACTTCATCAGCGAGGATATCATGACTAAATGGTCACGTCCGGCGTGATCTACGATTCTTATACGATGACCTCGAACAAGTCATCCGCTACATGGTCACACCATGATTAGCTGGTGGCATATACCCAGATGTCATGGCATATTGCCGTGCAAATGACAAGTTTGGAAACAGCCCATAACCTGGTGCGTTTGTGTCAAACTGATAAGAAGAAGCTCTTCAACAGAATCATCGAGCAATTCTGCAGCACGATCCCCAACAAACCAAAAAGTCTTCTAGACAGCCTGGTCTCCAGACGGGGGCGCATTGAGCACCACTATGTTGTTGTCGGAGCAATCAGGTGTTTCGTCCGCCATTTCCCCGGGCTCGACTTTCTGCACGTTTAAGTTGCGTACAAATGTGACCGGAAAACGCAGAGCCGTTAGACGTATCACAAGCGCATATACTAATTTCTCTAATCAAGATACGCCAGCCGGGCACCGATAATCGTAGCTATAGGTCGGGCGGAAAACCTGACCAATACCGATTTTATATTCAGCTCAACAACAAGACTGCTTCTCTGGCAAAATTTAACCCAAAGGAGGAGGGCATAGATGAGGGAAGACTGCTAGGAAATATACTCGAAAATCTGCTAGAAGCATCGAATGTTAACAACATCCAAGGAAGACAGACACACGAAACACGAGTATCAATTGCTGGTACAATATGCCCATGAATGGCTGAAAATATGGCAGACGTGGAAGGGATAAGACAAGCATCGCAAGATTGTGAAAGCGCGTCTTCCGGCAATCGCCAAGATAGGAAAGAAATATATGATAACAAGTCAACCGATATATCGGGTGTGGGAGGGATCTGGCTCAGGAAACAACCCGTATTGGTAACGAATTGGGGCTTGTTAAAGAAACATTACAAGACGATCAGTCTTGAGGTTGTGTACAAGCTTGTCAGTCAAGTCAACCATGGGAGGCAGCATTCTCCTTCTCCCATGGACCACCCGCTTACCGGTTACAAACGTTTACGATTCGCTTTCCACTCAAGATATACCCCCTTTTTTTTTTGACAAGGCATGCGAGATATAAGAGGAGGAAAGAGGCTAACTTGCAGACCTTGTAGTGCACAGTCCCTTATTTCCCCTTTGCAGTCAGACAGGTGTTCATACGGTAAGTGGGCCAGAGAGACCACAGATTTGTCCTGTTACATGAGGGTTCGAATGCGATGGTGTTACATGGGCTACGGACATATGCGGCAGGGTTCAAAAAGGCATATATATATATGACATTCTGGTCTGATTATACACCAGAACGTTCTTATAACCCATGCTAATCACACAATAACTCCTAAACGCGAGTTTTCAACTCACGGTACAAGTCCTCTAAAAGTTCTGGGAATATTATATCGACAGAAGTCATCACCAAAGGCTCTTCTAAGCTCACAGTTTTTATACGATGACATGGAGCAAGTGATAATCAAACGACCACTCAATGTCCGTAATAAGCGCCAGGTCCATGGCAAATTGACGAGATAATGTTGATTGTATGTCACGATAACTGGGGTTGATGCAAGTGTGGAAAACATCACTCTTTGGCAATGAGAAGTTTATTCCTGAGTTGGCGAGCTTGGTTGGTATATCATATAGCGTGAATTCTATATTCCTAGATCTCAATATGACCAATTTCTATTTCTATCTATCTATCCCATTCTATAAAAATCACTTCGCCTTCCTAGCCCTCTCCGGATCCGCCAAAATCTCCCTATTCCACCTCGGATCCTGACTCTCCTTCACAGGCGCCCAGCCTAACTGTATCTATAAACCGTCAACTCCCAATCCCTCTCAAAATAAAGAAAACTCACCTGCATAACCTTCTGATCCCAATCCTTAACGAAACTCCTAACCCTACCCCCCTCAATCTCAAAAATCGCCGCCGCACTCCACCGCGCCCTCCTCGGCGGCTCACTCCTCTCAATCCCTTTATAAGGAGCTCCGCAATGCGATCCTTCCGCCGTATACCGTAGCAATACATGTCCGTCTTTCGCCCAGGCTTGGTCGTACCGCACGATTTTCAGATCGCTGACGGAGGCCATCACGTGCGCGTGCGACTCGGCGTAGTCCATGGGGGTGGTGCAGCCGGGGAAGGTGGAGGGGGAGTAGAAGTGGGAGTCTGGGTGGCAGAGGTGGGAGACGGAGGGGGCGCCGGTGTTGTGGGTGGGGGAGTAGGCGATTGACATGTAGGTTTTTGCGGTGGTTATGTTTTTCTGGATATTTTTGTCAGTGTACAGGGGAGTGTTTTTTGTATAACTTGGACGGGATTACCTCTTCTTCGGGGGTTTGGGGAGTTGAGAGGATGGTTGGGGGTTCGGAGGACATGATGTTTGTATTTGTGCTTCGATAGTGGTTTGTATACAATATTATCTAAGTAGTGGTTAGTATACGAAGAAATTGTAGAAAGGTGGTAGATATATTGATACACTGGGGCAAACGAACTATGACCTCAAAATGAACTATGTAATTCCCAACCCAGAAACTAGCGCCTCGCCAATCCGGGGTCGGTCTCCACATTCCCCAGACAGACAGATCTGTACTTGTATCAGATTGGAGACTCCGAGAAACGTCCAAATAAAACACTTAATATAGAAAATAAAGCCTGCCGTCGGGGATTATCCTCTTATAGTATAACTAGTCTTATTGCTTATACGAGTCCAAGCACGCCATCCCTGACCCCCTCTACACCATCCACTACCAACCACACACCCGTGATGCAACAGGGCCTGCATCCCGCTCATTGGGCGTAACCCCTCTTATAACTTTGTTAAGCTCATACGATGTACTCGTAACGCTGGTGACTATATAAATGCTTATGCTCGTATCGACAATGCGATCTGTTACTTCTCGTACTTGTGCGCAGGCTTGCCAAAATGGGCCGCAAACTGGGCGTTTTCCGCGCCGTATACCTAGTCTCGGCTAGTTGTATGGGCTCGTTTGCGTTTGCTTTTGATACTGGTGTTATCAGTACGTCCTTCTATCTCTATATCTAATCGCATTCTTGAAGAGAAGAGCTAATGAACAGGCGGTGTTCTCACTCTCAAATCCTTCCAGAATGACTTCCGCTACAGCTCGTCCCAACAAACAACCGTAAACTCCAACGCCGTCTCCATCCTCCAAGCAGGCGCCTTCTTCGGCTGCTTCTTCACCATGCCCATCGCCGCGTATCTCGGCCGTCGCGGCGGCCTAATCCTCAGCTCAATCGTTTTCTCCATCGGTACAATTCTGCAACTCATCAACGCGCATACACTGGGGACATTCTACGCCGGTCGCGTAATCGCGGGACTAGGAATCGGTGCTGCGACTGTGCTGGTGCCCATGTACGCAGCGGAGATGTCGCCGAAGGAACTGCGTGGACGGCTGGGGAGTTGTTTCCAGTTGTTTTTCGCGCTGGGCGTTATGGTTGCTTATTGGGTGACTTTTGCGGTGAGTAAGGATTATGCAGAGTCGACGAAGCAGTGGCAGATTGCGTTGGGGTTGCAGTTGTTACCATCGACGCTGTTGTTAGCGGGAATGTGTACTGTGTCTGAGAGCGCGAGGTGGTTGGCGGCGAAGGGGAGGACGGAGGAAGCTTGGAAATCGCTGAAGTGGGTGCGCGGGGGTGAAGAGAATGATGCGCTTCGCGCTGAATTCGATGAGATCCTCGCTGGTATCCAGGAAGAAGCGCGCGTCCGCGACGGGTTCTCATGGAAAGAGCTCTTCGTCCTCCCCGGGAACCGATACCGTCTCTTCATCGCAGTGACCATCCAGCTCTGTGCACAGCTCACAGGAAACACCTCCCTAGCGTACTACGCAAACCAGATCTTCGAAGCCGTGGGCGCCGGCAGCTCATCAAAGCTAGTAACCGGGTTCTTCGGCGTCGTCAAAGTCGTCGGCGTCGTCATTTTCCAGATCTTCGTCATGGACCGCATCGGCCGTCGCGTACCCTTCATGGTTGGCGCATTCGCAATGGGTTCTTTCATGTTAATCATCGCCTGCGTGCTCGCCACACATCCAACTAGCACTGACAACTCAGGCGCAACGAAAGCCGGCATCGCAATGATCATCATGACCTATGCAGAAGCGTTCAGTTTCAACATGTCCTGGGGGCCGTTGCCCTGGTTATATGTGGGTGAGATCTTCTCGAGTCGCACGCGTGAAGTTGGGGTTGCGGTGGGTGGTGCGTCACAGTGGTTGTTTAATTTCATGATGAGCCAGGTGACGCCGCATGCGATTGAGAATATTGGGTGGAGGATGTTTTTGATGTTTGCGATTTTTAATTATGCGATTATTGGGTATTCGTGGTTGTTTTTGAAGGAGGTAGGCCCTTCCCTCCCCTGGTCTCCGGATTGCGTGCACAAGCTGACTATGATAGACCTCGAATCACTCGCTGGAGGAAATGCAGCATGTCTTTGGGGATGCGCCGAGGAATAAGACGGATGAAGAGGCCGAGACAGTGGATGAGATCGCCAATGGGCCGAAGTCTAGTCCTCGCTAGGACCTTCCACAGTATATATAGCTACCACTGGACATCCAATAAACATCTTGATGTAAATATTAATATCGGCAATGAAGTCATCTGGACCACATCGGGACTAGTCCCTTTATTGCATACCGGAGTATATAACGCGGGGCATCTCTACCACTATACAAACTTCACCTACACCCTCAATCCCCTCTACATCAACCACAATGGAAGACCTTAAACCTTTCGAAAACCCCAGCATCGACGTACGCCTCCCCCTCAAGCCCCCAACACTCAACCCAAATACTAACAGAGAATGCCGGCGCAGCCCCCCGCCCTAACAGCCCTCGAATCCTCCCCCTCCGTGCTCTTCCCATCCTTCACCTCCAACATAGCCTGGTCCCTAGGCCTCGCCCTCCGCACCCGAATCCTCTCCCTCCCCCCCGACCAGCGCAAGCCCGCATTGATCAGCATCTCGCTCTCCTCCACACCGTCCTTCGACACCCCCGGCAGCGGCCAGGCACAACCACACGTTATCTTCCAATGCGCGACGGAGCCCGGCACCGTGTCTGATAATGAGGTGTGGGTAAGGCGGAAGAGGAATACGGTGCTTAGGTGGGGGGTTAGCAGTTGGTTGATGCGGTGTAAGATGCTGGGGCAGAGTAGTACGACGGATGTGGAGGGGGCTTTTGTGAGGAAGTTTGCGTTGAGGAGTTCGTGTGGGGGGTTTGCGGCGGATGAGTATGCAATTCATGGGGGTGGGTTTCCGGTGAGGGTGAAGGGGGTTGATGGGGTGGTTGGGGTTATTGTGGTTAGTGGGTTAAAGCAGGAGCATGATCATCAGGTTGTTGTTGAGGTCGTGCAGGATTTTATTGCCAATTTGGGGCCTGCATAGACTACAATATAAACACGACAGGCATGGGAGAACAATGTATCATGCAATTCTATGCAACTATAACTGAAAGCAAAACTCCATTAAAAGAAAACCCCGATAATTTTACAGTTCGTCATGTCCGCTGGGCTCCTCATCCTCTTCGGGTGCGGCGCCGCCGTACAGCTTGCTGGTGATCGGGTAAGCAACGTTCGAGAGCTGCTCCTTTTGCTCCTCAAAGTCCTCGGTGGAAGCGGTGGCGGCGTTGTCCTCGAGCCAGTCGTTGACCTCCTTGACGGCGTCCAAGATGGTCTGCTTGTCATCCTCGTCAATGCGACCACCCAGGCCCTTGTCGTCGCTGACCTGGTTCTTCAAGCTGAAGGCGTAGTTCTCCAGTCCGTTGCGGGCCTCGATCTTGCCCTTGACGGCCTTGTCCTCCTCGGCGAACTGCTCGGCCTCAGCGACCATACGGTCGATTTCTTCCTGGGTCAGACGACCCTTGTCGTTGGTGATGGTGATGGACTCGATCTTGCCAGTTCCCTTGTCACTAGCACCGACCTTCAGGATACCATTGGCATCCAGGTCGAAAGAGACCTCAATCTGGGGAACACCACGGGGGGCCGGAGGAATGCCGGTAAGCTCGAACTTGCCGAGAAGGTTGTTGTCCTTGGTCAGAGAACGCTCTCCCTCGACTGCACATCATTAGCAGCTGTTCAATTCTGGCACAGGGAAAAAGTAGGAAAAAAAAGTGACTTACAAACTTGAATCAAGACCGTGGGCTGGTTGTCAGCGGCGGTCGAGAAGATCTGGGATTTGCGGGTAGGAATGACGGTGTTACGGGGGATGAGCTTGGTCATCACACCACCAGTGGTCTCAATACCCATGGTAAGAGGGTTGACATCCATCAGAACAACGTCGCCAGTTCCTTCCTCACCAGAGAGGACACCACCCTGGACAGCGGCACCAAACGCAACGGCCTCATCGGGGTTGATACCCTTGCTGGCCTTCTTGCCGTTGAAGAACTCCTCGAGGAGAGCCTGGACCTTGGGAATACGGGTAGAACCACCGACCAGAACGATGTCCTGAACCTCGGCCTTCTTGACCTTGGCGTCCTTGAGCACCTGCTCAACGGGCTTCAAGGTCTTCTTGAAGAGGTCCACGTTCAGCTCTTCGAACTTAGCGCGGGTCAGAGTCTCAGAGAAGTCGTTGCCGTTGTGGAAGGCTTCGATTTCAATGCGAGTCGACATCTGGGAAGACAGAGTACGCTTGGCCTTCTCAACCTCACGCTTGAGCTTACCCATGGACTTGAGGTCCTTGGTAATGTCAACGCTGTTCTTCTTGTTGTACTGCTTGACGAAGTACTCCATGACACGGTGGTCAAAGTCCTCACCACCAAGGTGGGTGTCACCAGCGGTAGCCAAGACCTCGAAAACGCCGTTGTCGATCGACAGAAGGGAAACATCGAAGGTACCACCACCAAGATCGTAGACGATAACCTGGCGCTCGTCACCCTGCTTGTCCAGACCGTACGCGATAGCGGCGGCGGTGGGCTCGTTAACGACACGGAGAACGTTGAGACCGGCAATGGTACCGGCATCCTTGGTGGCCTGTCTCTGGGCATCGTTGAAGTATGCGGGGACAGTAACAACGGCGTGGGTAACTTGCTTTCCAAGGTAGCCCTCGGCGATGTCCTTCATCTTACCCAAGACCATGGCGGAAACCTCCTCGGGAGTGAGGGTCTTGGGGGTCTGGTTGACGTCGACCTTGACAACAGGCTTTCCATCCTTGTTGACAATCTTGAAGGGGAAGTGCTTGGCGTCCTTCTGGATATCCTTGTCATCGAACTTGCGACCAATCAATCGCCTAGTCCTGTTAGCCACCCATTCTAGTTCCAAAAGTTGTAGACCCAACTCACTTGATGTCAAAGATAGTCCGGACCGGGTTAGCGGCGTATTGGTTCTTCGCGGCGTCACCGACCAAGCGCTCCTCATCCGTGAAGGCCACGTAGGAAGGCGTGATACGGTTTCCTTGGTCGTTGACGAGAATCTCGACCTTTCCGTTCTGCATAACACCGACGCAAGAGTAGGTGGTTCCCAAATCGATACCGACGACTATTCAAGCACCGTTAGCCACCAAATCCCAGAAGATATTCCTGATCCAGGTAGACATACCAGTTCCATAGTTATCCTGTACTGATTCCTCCTCAGCGTGTGCGGTTCCGAGCAAAGCCAATGGCGCGATAAAGACAAGAAGAAGGTAGAAGATGGTCGTCCAAGCCGTGAACGGCTTAGCAGCACCGCTGCGACCAGACAGCCGTGCCATTATGAAGGTGTTAAGAGGGGGAAAAGGCGAGCGATCTCTATCCTGCTCGTCTAGTGAAATGGTCAAAGGGAAATAGAAAAGTAACAATCAGAAAGATTCCGTCTTCCCAAGTTCCTCATTAACAAGAGGATACAAAAAGATAAGAAAGGGAAGGGAAAAGACACAGTGGAGGGAAGAGAAGAGGTTGACGAAGAAAAAGAGCAGCGGCGGTTCTTGTATTGCTCTCCGAAGCCCCAGCGGCCAGCATGGCCTTTTCGCCTGTTCAGAGTTACTTCTCGCGTCCTGATTGGCTGGTTCCCCTGCTGAGTCATGCCCGCAGTTGGCGCTTTTCTCACCGCCTACTTTCTGCCTTAGATATGCGTGTCCCAATCAGGCAACCGATGGGGGGCTGAGGAGGCATAACTGACCAATCAGTGAGCCTCCAGAACCTCCATCGAACTTGCTAGAAGTGGGGACCCTTCTAGAAATAGTAAGGCGTTGTGGTGTGGCAGCCTCCCAAGGCTGTTTCCGCCTTCCTCTTTGGAACACTGCTTTTGACTTGCAGCTCTGCACAGGGCAAGCGGCGATCAGGCCGTCTTTCCCGATTTGGCAGCGCATTCACGACACTTGGCCTTTGACTGACTCACTGTACCAAGGAACGAGAATAGGACACTTGGCCTTCTCGCAGTCGAGATTCTCCGGATAATGAAGCATACTCTAGGATATATTCAACTCTATACACTTGTAAAGTATCTACTAGCTATTCAAGCAACCCTGCCGCCACAGTCTCCCCTCCGGCACGTAGAACAACCCGCGTAGGTGCCTCCAGAGGAACCCCTTGGTCCATCTCGACCACAATCCGAGCCACTGAACCAGGCGCCACGATCTTCGGCTTCTTCTTGACAGGCGCGCCAGACCCCTTGTCCAAGGTTGCAACCAGCTTGCTGATACGCCCTGGCACATGAAGACGACCGCGGTGGATGTCGACCATGCTGGGCATCAAGTGTTCGAATGCGAGCACCTTTGTCGTGAAGCTGGTGATGTTCTGGATGGGTGACGAGGAATGGCAAATGACATCTCCAGACCGAAGGTGCACAGGGTCGATGTTTGCCAGGTTCAAGACGACGTTTTGACCTGCCACCGCCCAGTCACTAACATCCGCGTCAACTTCCAAGCTGCGGATTGTCGCTTTCTCCCCACTGGGCATCGTGAGCAATTCGTCGCCAACTTGCAAGCTGCCCGCCTCGATGCGGCCTGAGATCGACAGAGGGTTCTGCACACTACCCCGGAAGACATCCGCGATCGTCATCCGCAGTGGCTTATCCAACGCATGCGAGTAACGTTCTGAAGTCTCCAGTTCGTCGACCAACGTCCGTCCAGTATACCACGAAACATTCGGATCTTCACTGCGTCGAGTGATGTTGTCACCCTGGATACCTGAGCAGGGAACAAATGCGATGTTCTTTGGTTGGAATCCGGCAGCGGTCAAAAACGATGAAACTTGTTGCTCAATCTCGTCAAAGCGTTCTTTGTCCCATTGCACTGAATCCATCTTGTTCACAGCAACGATGATTTTTTGAACCCCCATACTCCGCACCAACAACGCATGCTCCTTGGTCTGGCCCTTCAACCCCGACTCAAACTTCCCTGTGCTAGAATCGATGACAAGGACCGCAAAATCCGCCTGACTCGCTCCAGCAATCATGTTGGGAACAAAGTCCCTGTGGCCCGGTGCGTCAACGATGGTGAAAGCGGTATTCTCCGTCTCGAATTTGTTGGTTGCAATGTCGATGGTCACACCACGGGCTCTCTCCTCGGTTCCCTGATCCAACACCCAAGCCAACGCAAATGATCCTTTCCCGATTTTCTCTGCCTCCCGCTTGTATTTCTCCAACGTCCGTTGATCAACGGCTTTCAGGTCAGCAAGTAAGCGTCCCATAAGCGTAGATTTTCCGGCGTCAACATGGCCTGTCCAGAGTTAGCAACGATACCTAGTATAGTAGCTGAGGGTAGACAAACCAATAACCACAAAATTGGCACTCTTCTTCCGATTCGACTTCTTGTACTCCGACAACACGTCAAGATTTTTGCTTTTCACGTTCACCTTCTCCGCAACACTCAAGTTGCCCATACCACCTGCCAGATCGCCCTGGGCCTTCTTGTCGCCTGCTGACTTAGCCACAGGCTGTTTCGACTTGAAGCCTGCAATGTATTAGGTGGGATCTCATATCTTTCTCCGAATAGCCAAACCTTTTGCTGAGCTCTGTGCATTCACGACCACATCGTCGGGACTGGGGCCTGCAAAGTCAAAAGGTTCAGTAAGATCTTGACCGTAAATTCGTATCAAATCAGCGGTGTTGGAATGTAAGTGGCTGGGCTCGGTCATCATTGGACGAGTGCTGTCTCCAACAATCGTACTCGCAAAGCCGGACGGTGGCGCACGAATGTTCACTTCAGGCTCTTCCTTTTCCTTGTGATCCGCCTGGCTGTTCTCTGCCGGTACCTCCGGTCCAGGCTCTGTTGGAAGTTCGGGCTTCGTTGGCTCGGGTGCTGGTTTCTTCAGAAGCGGCGAAGGTGCCGGGCTGCCCTTGCCAAGGGAGCGAAGGGTCGATATGCCGTTCGATTGTTTCCGCGGTTTATCATTGGCAGCCAGTCTCTCACGCAACGACAACGCGCTCGGTTTTGCCTCCGCCGCAGGTGTTTCAGGGGTTTTATCAGCGCTCGGAGTAGCGACAGCCGGTATTGCTTCTGCAGGAGGTTTCTCCCCTTCTTTCTTCTTCCGCGCAGCAGCCAACGCAGCCAGCTTGGAGACCTTCCCGCCACTCTCAGGAGCTCCGCCCAAAAGACCCATTCGAGGATATAAAGGCTCCACGAGGATATCGGCTTTACGATGCGAAGGTACGTTCAACCATGGTGAATCGCGAAAGAACTCTGCCGCGGAGAAGTGCGCGATCTGCGGAGAAGTCGTCGGGGGTGGAATGGGGTATGCCAGCACTGAGAAACCTGTTAGGACATGCTCAACTTCCGCACCAATGTCAGTTTGAAATCTTTTTCGTTTAATCGACCGACCGCGCTAAGCAAGCAGAGGGGGGCGCATGCACACATACCTTGATCACATCACAATTGGTGCATTCCGCAAATGACTCGAACCCAACCACAATCGTAGAAAGACACATAGCGCAAACATAAAACAAGGGTCTTGCTTACCTTTCGGCTTCGCCGTCGCGGGAGGAGCCTGCTTCTTCTGGACCTCCTTTGCTTTCTTGCCTAATCAACCCAGCGTTAGCATCACCCCAGAATCCACGAAAATATGGGAATAACTGACTTCTCAAATAATTCGCCGACTTTTCCACATCATTATAATAATGCCAAAGCGCCTCCTGGACCTCATCCCTCGTCGCCGTCACCGACGGTTCCCCCGAGCGGAGCTGTCCAAGCACGTCTTTCGTATACTGTTCCAAGAACTCCTGCTCTTCTGGATCGGGCGAGTCATATCCGTCGTCGTCTTCGAAATCGTCGTCATAACTCACGGTTTTCATGCGATGTCGCGACATGGTGGGGTGAGAATCACTGCCTGACTCACTGGTTATAGGACGGAAGGTTGCTGGATGGGTGAGAAATAATGTTAAATAAAACTTCAAGCAGCTAAAGAATCCAGGATCAATCAATCCTGAGTAGATCGGAATTCGTAAAAGGGGAAAGGAAGAAGGAACGAAAAGAGGTTGCGGATGGACGTTGGCGGGGAGCAGCTCGCAGGTTTCCCACCACGTCATTCTCCATTTGTGCTGTGTGCATTAACATGCATATTTCTATCACCTGCATAATTGTATGAGAATGGATCTCAGAATAGTATACAGGCTCCTCTGTACATGTATATATCCTCCATTCACCGAAAGAACTCATTGAACCGAAATACCAGGCAACTTAGTCATATCTTTGGAGCCATTGACTTCTCTCTGGCTCGTTTCCCCGCGTCGTCCTACTATCATAACCATCATTCCCCATAATTCGTCTCTCCAAGCTCCTCTCGATCTGAACTAGATCCCTTTCCACCTCCTGCATGTTACTCTGCATGGTAGAAAACCTCCAAGTCAAAGGCCAAACGGCGTGTACAAAACATCGACTGAGTCTATTTCCTAACTGCGATAATGGAGAAGTTATCGACTCATGCATGGACACGATCGATTGCATGCCTTCTTCTCTGGTCAATGCGCTTTTGCGATGGAGCATCTTGTCTTGGAATGAGCGGAGATTAGGAAAGTAGATGCGCAGGGTGAGGCGCGGTAGATTGAGCTTGCCTTGCACATAGGATATTGTTTCGATCCAATTTTGATGGGCGGGTGATCCTAGGAAAATGCAGCCCGGGATTGTTGGTGGAAAGATGATTTCAAGAAATTTGAGAGAATAGAGCATTATGGGAGGAAGCACATCGCGCAGGAAGATTGAAGCTTCAAGACGGTCCAGCACAGCAGGTTTCGCAGCTGCATAAAATGGTCCTCCAGACGGCATGACGATGAAACGGTTTTTGGAAAATAATATGGTCCGAGCAAGATGCTGCAAAGTCTTTGAGACAAGAAACAGTGGCGTTGGTGGACACCAGCAGTTGCAGATGGTTGAAGACACTGCATGGTAACGGTAGCAGAAACATCCATTGTTCAAACGCTGGTAGCAGTTTCTAAACTGACAAGTGTAGTGATCCTCAGGTGGGCAGTTTGTAAATTCACAGTCTTCAAACCTATAATGCAGATAGAATCTTTTCTTAGGATTCCAAGTGATCTCGCGACATGGGGTAATGAGATCCGTGTATTCTAAAATCTCATATTGAAGCTCCCGCGGTAAGTCCAAGAATCTAAATTAACCCTGAGGGCTCCAGGTCCATCCCCATTGCCAGGGTCGCTGTCTTATGTGCCAGATGCCGAAGTGGAAGACTAGGATCTTTACCCAGCCGAATATTGCAGCTTGCAAGTGTAGGAAGCTTCTCATTCAGCGGCTCAGCCACTTTCCTTGCCGTTTCCAGATCTTCGACATCACAGATCAGAGAAAAATATAGCTGGGACGAGGGGATGTGTCTGCCAGCGTAATTGATGGCACCAATCCATTCAGATATCGTTGGCAGGTATCCAGATAATGGACCAAGAGGCCAGTCATGATGGATAGAGTAATCAACACGATGGATTTGGCTGTGTATTTCTCTGGGTCCCCTGCAGCATTCATGTCTTCCTTCGCAAGAGCTGACATTAAGGTGGATGGTCAAGTGGTGAAGCGATGCTACTGTGGTCTGTGTATCTGATGAAGAAACAATTTTCAGAGTAAAGAATTGGTAAGGCTTCAGAGTAGATGGTGCGACAGGTGAGTAGCAAATTGTATGCGCGTCTGTACGGTAGGATGCTAGCGTAGCTTGACCATGGGTTCAAATCTTGGAGATACTCAGATCGGGGGACAATTTCCTGGTATATTTGGTGTCGAACTGCGAGTGGGAGATCCAGAAAGGATATATAGGAGTACATTGCTGTAGACTTGTGTTTCGATCATTAAGTGTTCTGGGTAGACGACGGAGTATGTAGTAGGCGACCTTGACAAGGAAAAGCGGTCACAGCACTGAAAAAAAGCTGTATGAGGGAACGATGTTTACACGAGGATTAAAACTAAATAGGAAAGAAAGCACCACAAGGCATTATTAGAAAATCCTGTATTCTCTCTATCTGTGAAGTCAAAGCTATTGGAAATTGTTCAAGAAGGGTCCAGTATATAAAAATCCCCACAACTATCACATAATCCCAAAAAAAAAAAAAAAAAAAAAAGGTTATGCAAAAAAGGGGTCGCTAAAACCAAGGCTAATCCAACCATATATCAATCACCGCAAGGGACTCCCTGTAAAGAAATCACCCGTCCCAGGACTGCTAAAACTGCCATTACTAGGCGTCAAAGCAATCGTCCGACGAAACCCTTGGCGAGGCGTAGTTGGTGTGCTAACTGGTGGTGGGACATTTTCCTGACCAGTAGGTGTGCTGGCGCCGTTAGATGTTTGCATGGTCACGGCAGTCCCGGGACGAGAAAGAACGGCTGCCGTGCCGTTTCGAGGGGGAGGTCGGAATCCAAGCTTAGCTCCTTCGCGGAAGATTTCTTCTAATATTTGATTGACGATACCCGCATCTTCATATTCCTGGAACTTCTTCCAAAGACGGAGCGCCATGCGGGCGTCTTCGATCGAGTCGTGGCCTTGGCTGGGATCTGTTGGTTCTTCTTGGATGAACTCTTTGAATACGGCCCAGGCAAGATACCGAAGACTGAGACGACGGTTTTTGGCAGGGTGGAAGTAGAGATATTGCGTATCCACGGTCTGGCTCTTGGGGACCTGGATGTTGATCTGGCGGAAGTCGGAGGCCAGGCCATGTCCGACGAAAATGCAACCCAAGTTGAGAAGAAGCCAGAGTTTCTTGTATGCAATCTTGAGCGGGACAAGATTGTGTTCACTGGTCCTCAGATCCAAATCGCTAGGCTTAATACCAGAGTACTGTGTTACGTAGTCGACAATCGTTTCCTTAATCGTAATATAGTCGTCAATGAAAGGAATGCCCTCTTGTAATCCTGCGCCGCGCAGCACAGAGACTCGAGCAAGTCCGCTCCTGCTTGGTCGAACAATCTCCTGCGATCCATCGGCTTTGACATCGATCTCCGCCTTTTCTAGGTCGACAAACTCCGTGTCAAGAGCGACGGGTGTGCCTGGGGATGGCTTTTCCTGTTCTGTAAGTTTACGGCATGATTCAATCGGACGGCCACCACTGTTAAGCATCGTGTTAGTGAACATTCTTGCTAATATGTATAGGGTTCAACTTACTTCAAAGACCACTCGCGGAAAAGAAGAGTAGTGTCAAGCAACTGTTTCCAGGTGTCATCAATCGCATGACGAGCGTCCCGAACCTGGTACGACAAGACGCAGGGGAATTTCCAGGGCTGATTAAACATGAGCGCCTCATCCTTGTCCACTTCGGTGACCAAGAAATCGTTGAACAAATGCCACCTATTCCTTTCCTGCTTTTCCTGAGCAGAAATCGAAACGTTAATAAACGAGACAAGGTGGGGCTTTTGATGCTCCGGGATATCAATCTCAGAAACGACACCAACCAGGTCGTATATCAAGAGACCCGGCATATTATTCTGCATTCGCGCCTTCAGATCCTCTCCTTCATAGCACATAATTTGGCCGTTGTCAACAACAAGACCAACTTGCTCCGGGAGCCAGCCAGGCATCGCCCAAAGTCGTCGGCAAATGGGGTTGTTGAGTGCCGCATTGATCATCAAAACGAGTGGCATACGGTGTACTGTTTTCCGAATGGCGACTTGCTGGTAGCGTCGGCAGTAATTGCACCACCCTCTATTTTGGGTTTCCCGCTCAATACTGGCTCTGAGAATGTTGGAAAATCGGTATGCCGGGTGCCTTCGAACTTGTTTGACATCGACAGGTGGGTATATTAATTCCGTCAGCGATGAATTCCCGGCTCTGACAATCTCATTCTGGCAGAACATGCACCGGATTGATTCCGACGCGAGCGTAGTAAGATGACGATCAAAATCATCCCCATTCGGTAGTACCATGCGTGAGTCATGAGCGATCTGGCCAAGGAAGAACCTATTAACCGACTGAATAGCTGTCGAAAGAGATTTGGTGGTGAGATTCTCTTCAAGCAGTCCCAGGTTCGACGCCTCCCGGAAGCTGCTAAAGGTTTTTAATAGATTGGTGGCCTGACAGTTTTGACCTTTTGCCTTCTCGAGCATGTCGAAGAGATAGCCCATCTCACATAAAAGGCAGCTCTCGAAGATACAAGGACTGGCAGCGTGGTGAAGCGCCAGATTTCGGACGAGTGGGATGAATTTGAAGAGTTGAAGGAGGGCGTTAGCAAAGGAGTTTGCAATGTGTGTTTCGAGACCAGAGAAGACGGTCTTGTTATAAAACCTAGTGACGGTTAGCAGTCTGCGAAGAAAAAGCAAAAGAGAAGGGAAGTCTGAAGACATACCTGAAGTCGAAATCATCAACACCAAACCTACTGTATTTGATTTCGACGTTGCTGTATTTAAGGAGCGGGTCGTCATCGGATTGTCCATTAATCTTCGCACCCGCCAGAGCCTCTGCGGCATCATTGAGGGACCCATCCAATTTGGCCTTGTTCTGTTCCCGTGCCTTCTCACTCAGGAACTTGGGGGCAATAAGAGCAGGCTCAGGAGATGCCAACGCGCGGGTGTTTTCGACCTGGTATCGCCTAGACTTCTTTGGATTTGGTGCGCCGTGGCCCATATCAGCAGGACGGAGGTAGGGAATTATAGAGGGATCGATAAGAGCTGGTGGGCTGCCAACTTCGAACACCAGGTGACTAGGCCAGGCAGAAAAAAGGCGCTCGTGGTAATAAGGCATACCTATCATGTTCAGCGGTGTATCGAGAGACCAGTCGAGAGGAGGTGGGCGCGGTGTGACATCTGCAAATTCAACCTCCCTGCTCATTTCATTGAAATGTACCTTTGCGGGAGAGCCCCAAAGGTGAATCGAGCACTCCGTATCATTAATAGCTAGAGCTTCTCCGGAAGGTGACAAGTCAATACCAAGCATGAAGGGGACGTTGGCTTGACGAAGGTTGATGGCATTAGGGTTCATAAGATCCACCACTTGCAGCTGTCCGGTTTGAGACGCCACGAAACTGGTGGTATGTAGCTTCGGATGCATGCGCACATAGGCTGCACCGGCATGGAAAGGAATCGGAGGTAACGGCGCCAATGTCTTCAGATCATAAACGTTGGCGAGCGGATCGGCAATCGGGGCGCCCATCTGCCTAACTGAAAACCCGCAGGTCACCAGCAGGTCGTTCCGGGCATCCATGTCGTTGACCGCAGTCCCATGTGCTTTCCATGACTTGACGACGCGGAAATCAAGCAAACTGAGCGCATTCACTAAGCCCGTGTCTGTCCCAGCACACAGGTACCGACTCTTCTTCATGATTGTATAGTTGTGGTCGGTGGGCAACTTGTCGACAATAATCCCCTTATCAATATCGATCGTAAACATGCTCCGTTGACACCCCGCCACGATAATCCGATTTGTTTGCGCCGTAAAACTCATGCACCGCAGGTCGGTCATTTCATCGTGGGAAACGTGCCATTGCGTGAGGCCGCGTCGGGATATCATGTGCACGCTCTTCGAGGACAGCGAAATCACACCTCTCTCGTGAAATAATATCTGTCGTACCAAGCCTTCAGTGGCAGGGTGTGCTCGAACGGAGGTATATCTCTGTAATTCCGGCCCGTAAAACGACATAACTCGTCCCTGCGAGACAATGAAGGTCAGATAAGCCCGCAAACACCCAAGGTACAGTACTTACGAATTCATTCCCCATCCACAAAAGCTCCATCACATCATCAAAAGCAATAGTCGTGGCAATCGTCGGCAGCGCATGCGGGCCCGGGGGAGGCACCGGGATGCGCGATAGCTCATCCCAATCGGCTTCCATGATGGTTGACCTGGGCAGTAATGCCCCCCAGGTTCTCAAAGATTTTCTCTCTTTTCCTTCCTTCGAGTAGTTCAATATACGTATAACGTCTGTCGTAAAGGATGTCTAAAGAATGGTCAGGTCCTGCCAATACTCAAAAAGAGCGAAATCGGGCATCGTTCGGCGAGGGCGCGCGATTGCGGGGAAGCTTTCCCAGGTCGAACCTAGGGGTATAAATGCAAGACCGTTTAAGGTATGTGGCTGTGTAAGATGTAATATGTTGTCGATAATCGCAGGGCTCGTTCGTGGTCGTCCTCTGGTAAATTAGTACTGGTTGTTAAAGAGAATCGTCTTATGTCTTCGCGGTCGTTGTCGAGTAGAGGCGGCGGAGGTGCCTGGGATCACGTGATGCTACAATAGGTAACTATGAGAATGGGCAGATACCTACTTCAAGCCCTTTTTTTTTTTAATGTCCTTATAGGCAGCAAGTCGGTCCAAAATGGTCAGACTGGCGGTCCTGGGGTATCTGATTCGGTGTCCTAGGTGCAGTATGTAAAGGAGCATCAACCATATCGAAATATATAAATTCAATGGGCTCAACCAGCACGATAGATTTGACTATTATTGCAATTGACTTGGGAAAATAGATATTCACTTATTACTTTCCGATAATGAAGAGTTATACACCACAATATCATTTATATTGTCCATGCGTACCCCAATTGACACCGTTTTCTCTATAGTACTTTCAGTACACATATACACTTAACAGTTTTCCCAGACGGTGCATGTCACATTCTTCAATATCAAACCCATCAGGCATCTCATACATACACTTTTCAAAGAATAATCGGACGATATCTGAACGGCCATACCGGACTGCAACTTCTAGAAACGTAGATTCGACAGAATCGGCTCCAACACCCCGGTCTAACAGCAACTCCACAGTCCGGCGAAATCCCCTCTTAATTGCCAGGTAAAGTGGATAAATACGCCCGCCGTTGATATCGGCCCCTTTTTGCAGTAGCAGTGATATGGCTTCATTGCGGCCATTGAAAGCAGCACGTCCTAATGGCGTGCTTCTTTCAAGTTGATCTTCGTCATTGTGTTCTCGGTTGATCTCTGCTCCTTTATCTAACAGTAGGGGAATGGTTTCGATATTACCTGAGACTGCTGCATGGCGGAGCGAGAAGTACCAGAGATCCTGAAGTGTTTCCTCTGAAATAGCGCTGTAGTTCGCAGTCTCAGTGAGAATGCGAAACATCTCAGCATCTCCTCCTATAGCAGCAAACGTAATTGACCTCAGGTAGCTATAAGATGACCTTGAAACGCCAAATTCTGGTTGCAGAAGAAGTTGCAGTATCTCTTTGTGACCTTTTCGAGCCGCTGCCTCGACAGCAGTATAGGGGTAATCAGTGGGACCAGGAATCCATTTCTCAAAAGAAGTCTTCTTGCAATACTGTTCCTTGACTACTTGCCAGCCTTCTTCAGTTCCGGGCAAGCACCCATCATCTGCGTTGGCTCCTCTATTTAGCAGAAGCCTTGTAATCTCCAAGTGACCTCTCAACGCGGCATTTCGCAATGGCGGACCAATGATATTACTTCGCACGTTCACATCCACGCCCTGTTCAAGGAAATGTTCAACTAGGGAAATATCCCCCAGATAGGCTGCTGTAGATAGAACGTGCTCTGGTGCATCACTTTTCTGACCAAATTTGTTTGCCATTGATTTGGCAAAATCATACGCGTCGAATTGAATGATAATATCTAAATCACTTAGGCAGTGTCGGTCACTGCGCAAAGGTTTTCGTTTCCCTCTCAGTACGCTAGATACCGCAAATACCCCATTATCCATGAATTCGATGGCTGCTTGTGATACGAGCAAGGAGATTCGGTATCCTTCATCGATAGCCGAAGTTTCCGCTTCGCTATAACGGTTGTGTTTCATGGCTTGTAAACTGACATTCTCGATAGTGTTACCGAGATAATTATCGCCGTATTTCGTGAATGCCCAGCGCTGGAGGTAGTGAGTAGGGAAATATTGTAGAGCCGAGCGGTGGAGCATATTGCAAGTAGTTCGTGTCATTTCTTGATGAAAGAACCCTATATAGCCTTATCAGTACATCTTTATGAGGAATAAGGTGCTGTGGATGCTGACTGTTAACAAGTTGTGGGTTTTCATATCAGAAGCCATCAGAAATGGTAGGCTATTTAAATATATCTCGATAATATGTCGGAATATCTCAAGTGGTAAGTCGAGAAGATGCATTTCGAGTGATCCGAACGAGAGCGTACTCTGTGATGGAACTTTGATCAGATGCCTCACTCTATAGTATTTGAATGAAGGAGACCCCCACCAGAAAGCGCAAGTGACACTGCATCATGTGACCGGATCAAGAGCAAACAGGAAAATTCCAACGCACTCTGCAAGGGTGTTAGGGCAGAGGCATGTACTTTTCAGCCTGAGGCAGATAACTTTTGATTGTATACAGGCGGGGCAGCATGTACAACATATCATTCTTAGCTACTTGCAGATCTCCTTCAGCTCGAAACCAATATTCTGTGTCCCCTTTTCGGACATCAGCCTACCGGTTGTTTGAAAGTGGTAGATATGCAAACTAGAGCACAAAGGAACATCAAGTACTCTAATTGTCTGATTCAAATATTTGTTGAACTACTACCTTTCTAAGTCCCAACCTAAGATGCCGAAACAATCTCAATCCATGTCTAACACTCATGATAGCCCGACTTGCGGTGTGACGGACATTTGCATCTGCAGAATAAGCATTTATACAAATAATCTCGATATTCTGCATGGTAAATGAAGATATATAGACAACTGAATTCTTCAACACCAAAACTATATCTTTAACCAAAACCAATTCATCACAACAATGTTGGAAGAGATTGGATTTGGTCACTACTGCATAACAAACACCAACACGCCAGACAAGCTCCTCGAGGTGTCAGCATCTAATCACACCTCTGTAACAATTGGGTAAGCGCCATTCAACAAAGCAACGAGTCTTTCTGACTGACTAATTGGATGGCAGGAATCCCACAACAGACTGTGATCCGCACCAGCTTTGGTACATCTGGGGCGAAGGATCTTACTTCCATATCCGCAATGGGTCTGGGAAGTGCCTTGCGGTAAGCCCGCCAGGTAATCAGCCATTAATCAAAGCACCGGTTCCTTCGAATTGACTAACATATTCATTATTATATCAGGAGCCTATTCGTCTGTGATGGGACGAGACGAGCCCCAAGTGTGGATTATAGAAGTGGTCCATGAAGATCATAACTTCTATGGCAGGCAAGTGCTATGCTTTGAATTCGTTGCTCGTTGACTGTGAGCTAATCATGGATCGAGCAGGATCTACGCTAATGGAACCGGCCTCTGCCTTGCGCAGTTACCAGGTGCCAATGGAACCCCTCAGCTTCAGCTTGTGGAAACATCGCCTGATCCGAACCAGATCTGGAAACTTTGGCAAATGGGGGCATAAAGGCAGGCCGTAAAGAATGAGGCGCGATGTGTAGTGTGGTCCTTTAGGATTCAGAAGAGAATGATTCGTTACCAAGAGCTGGACACGAGCATGAAAGAAGTAATGTAGTAATCATAAAAGACTTTCAATGCTCTAACATGGTAGAGTCGCGTATGTACGAAGCGCAAGGACACCGATTTATTTCTCAATCTAGCAATGTGATAGCGATGCAGGCACTGCATAATGTACTACCAACATCCTTCACAATGTCGCCTTTCATTTGTCTTCACATTCTCCCACATCTGACATCAATCAGCTATATGCTCTGCCATTAATTCACCGACTCAAACAAAGCGGAAGGAATATTCTAGACCTCCAGTACTGCATACATTGATTCAAAACCCGCCTCATTGATCTGCAAGTTGACAGAACCGGCGCCATCGACTCCAATCCATAAGACATCTTACAATCAGCGTGTCGCCTGTCTTCCCACGGCTCCTAGACACGTATTCCTCATAAGCACCGTTTGAATTCCCTGTCCATAGTCCCTCATGCGGCATGTCGTGCCGGGATCTCAATAGCAAACATTCTGAAACCGAGCAAAAGCAAACCATGATGATGTGAGATCTAGGCATAAAATATCGTCCAGTTTCTCCAGAGTGAAATAATGAGAGGCCATCGAAATAAAAATCAATTGAAACTATTGAACAAAACAAATGAAGCGACAATGCCGGAGGAACTTAAACCCAGTCTGTACACGATCAAAAACCACAGCGTCGGCAATGTTCTCTTCGAAGATATAGTGGTTGGCGATGAGACTATCATAATCAGCGAGTGAGTGTTTCTTCTTTTATACCAACAGCTTCTCTGACTTGTAGCAGCCACCCTAGAAACGAAGAGATCCAGACATGGTTCATTCAGAAGAACGGTGACGGATCGTATTACATGCAGAGTGGATTTACTGCGAAATTCCTTGCCGTAAATGGAACACCACGTATTTAAATGATATTCAACACTAAATCTTCGTGTACTTACTCATGTTATGTTAACAGGAAACGGTGCAACCCTCATCGGAAGCGAAACACCCCAGCGATGGACTATAGAGCAAGCATCCGGATCTGGTTTCTGGCTGTAAGCCTGAAGCGTGCAGATTTATTCCAAGTAGCCCATATACTAATTATCGACACTGTATAGTATCCGCGTCCCTGGCACACAGCTCAGTCTTCACCTACCGGGTGATAAGCAGGGTACGAAATGTCGGCTTGTGGATGGTGGAATTCAATCGTGGATATTGGAATAGCCAATGTGAGAGGTTTTTCTCGGAGGCATTGGTGACTTGATAAAAGCATTGAAGTATGTTGATAGAAAAATGAACATTCCTTTGAAGCGCGACTAGATACACTATCTGGCCTAAGGCATCAAGTCCCTCGAACCCGCAATCCGCAGGCATTTCCCGACACGGTAACTGGATGCCATGAGTTAGGGCTAAGCTATTCCAAAACCTCTAGATTGCTGTCATTGAGAAAACCATTGCCGCCTCGGCCATTTTTCTTAGCTTCTAATCCACTCATGTTGCAACAGTTCTGACGCCGACTTTCGAGATCCTGGGTCAATTTCAAGCATGCCTCTTAAGAAAATCGATAAAGATAGGGACTTCAGCATCGGGAATATCGCTAGGATTGAGAAAAGGCTTTGCTGTGTCATTTATCAGGTGCTCAAGGTTTGTTGGTTTCAAGTTAGGAATTCGAAGAAGGTTTCCTGGGACCAATCCACATAGAATGACAATAGGATATGAATGAATTTGATAGAGTATAATACCTTTTCCGTCAAAAAAGTGCGCGGTACGGTTCCCTTTTTCTATGAAATGAGGTGGGAAAGGGCCAAGGACCTCGAAAATTCTTGCTAGATGATCATCTTCAGCGGTCCAAGACCTATTTTCTGATGCTTCATCGGAGAAAAGGACTATCCCTTGAACAAACTCCACTACCCGTTGATTCTCGGTTTCAGTGTTAAAATATTACTAAATAATGAGGTACAGTTACAAAGCATCCGAGACTCCATATATCAACCGCAACATCCCAGGGAGCGCCGATAGTCACTTCAGGTGCCCTCAGAGCTGGGGATTGGATCAGATATGACAGACGATTTCCCTCCAAGACGCTAGATAAGATATGTTTATGTGCGAATGGAAGCGCAATAGCCTGCCTACCTACCTACGCCAAAGTCAATTATTCTGATGTGAGGCTTTTCCATTTCCGAGACTAGCGGTATCGTGATAACCTCTCGAAGCGATGCTGTAGCACCACGTTGAAGACCGGTCCGCTAGGGAACTTCCGCCAGATACTGGGAAATAGCATCGTTTGGATTTTCCAACTCCAAAAGTATATTTGTTGGTTTCAGATCTATTTGAAGAAGGAGAGATATGTCAGTATTGCAACATTAGGCCGGTTATTCTGTCATACCGGTATGGATGATACCACACTCTCTGTGGAAAAGGTCGAGCCCAAGCAGAAGTTGCCGTGTAATCACTTTAACTGCCTTTACAGGTAGTTTTCCATCTTCATATTTGGCGGACTGAAAATCCAGATGGTGTCCTAGTACGTCGAATACAAAACACACATGATCTCCATTGGGTCCTATATGCTTGAAGTGATCGAGAAGACTTGATACATAGTTGCGGCCTTCATGGGAGCTTTTCTTAGAAACTTCCGAGATTTTGCAAAGAATTTCTCTCGAGGATGTCATGGGACCCGCCGTAACAATCAGCCCTCAGCATCTTGAGTGCCACATATTTTTGATATCTACAGTACCAGTTAGCTTGGTGTACGACACCGATGAATGACTTGCCTAGAATCCCTAGCTACTTGACCAAAGTATTGAAGCATGTTGACAGAAAAATGAATGCATATTCGAGGGACACTATTTGGCCTAAGACATAAAGTCCATGGATCGGCCCGAACCCAGGCATTTCCCGTTCCGGTAACTGCGATAGCTGCGGCGATGCACCATGCCCTAAGAGGTCTAGTACGAAGTATGGGGAGACTGTTTACTTTTCTCTCTATTTTATGTGGCTTGGGCCAATTCTTAGCGCCCGTCAAGTGACAATCCAGCCTATGGGAACAGGACTGTGTACTCTGTAATCATGCCAGTAAGCAGAAGTAGCACCGTCGAGCAAAGGGTTAACGAAATGCGGATAATCTGCGGCTCAAATCATGCTCTTCGTTCCTCTGGTTTTTGTTCTTCTTTGTACTACGGACTTTATAATATCCCCTCTACGGAGTACACGCCACGCTAACTTATCTGCTACCATGATTACTCTCTGACCACTCCTGCCCTATGCCATCAGATAACCAATTCCGAAACGACTAACAATCTCCGCGTCAAGGGACTGAAAACGCGCCAATGCTGGACCAGCCCCCCGATTCCGAAGGCCTTCAAGTCGCCATCGACAGCACCAAATAAGTCAACTGCGATAACGAAGGCTTACAACATATCCCCACCCAGGCACCGGGAGTTTACTATCACCCTCCTTATCGTAATGGAGGCGCGTACTATGATCCAAATACAGCGGGATATCCGCCCAGTTCACCTCCGCCGGTTTCTCAAGGACAAGGACAGAAGAGGCCGATTTGTGGTCTGAAGCCTGTTGTTTTCTGGATATTTGTTGTGATACTCTCGGCGATGGTTATTGGGGGTGCTGTTGGGGGAGGAGTCTGCGGGACAATAGTGGCGAGGAATAACAGCGGTAGTGATAATTCAGCGCAATCTGATATGACGAGGTCAGCGAAGCGCCTCCTTCCTTCCCGTTTTCTTCGGTGTCAGACTAACCCGTAGACAACACAGCACCAGCAACCCACTAACAACCCAAACCCCCACAAAAACATCGCGATCCTCCACAACACCGTCAACTACCTCCTCCGCTCTCGTAACATCCGGCACAACCGGCATGGCCTCAAACCCCTGCCCCTCCATCAACGGCACAACCATCCAAGCCTCAACCGGCTCCCTGTTCGCCGTCTACTGCAGCGTCGACTGGCCCAAGGGCGACGGTGCAGCAAACGGAAACGGGACTGTCAAGGACCTGCAGCCTTATAATTTCCAGTACACGTTGGATGACTGCATTACGTCGTGTGTTAATTATAATAAGGATGTTGGGGGTGGGGAGAAGAGTTGTAAAGCGGTTACGTATGCGGCGAATTTGACGGCTGCGAGTGTGCAAGGAGGGGAATTGCTATCTTAAGAATAGGGCTGGGAAGTATATGGAGGGGTCTTTTGGGTCGATGTCGGCGGGGGTTGTTGGGGAGTAGGTAGGGAGGGTTGGGTTGAGTTAAGTATACGTTAATGATACATGATGCATGATAAATGATTTCATCTCTTTAATATATGGATGCTGATTATATGCAAAGTGGCATCAGCTATCATCAGCCTTGCTATTAATGTTTTGATATTGTTTGGCCTCTAATTGGTTCGTCTAAGCCCTACCTCGCTGAGTCAAGTGCATGTACCCAGGATATATTCGAACGAGCCACAATCTACGTAGATACCCAACACCACAGAATTCAGTCGACGTGAACCTCATCACACCAGATTCAAATTCTCCCCCGCCCACTCCGCCGCCGTCATTGCACGCATCCCACACTGCCAATTCCACGTCCCCTCTAAGTCCCACCAAACCCCCCGACCCTGCCCAAACACAATCTGATACTTGAGTAAGGCATTCCCTGGATCCCGAGCGAGCGCGTTCCGTGCATCTTCTACAGTGAGGAGGCTCCTGTGGAATGGTTTCTGCACGATTCTCTCGACGAGCGCCGCGAGCTCGGCGTAGCTGATTGTGTCGCCGCCGATGAATAGCACTTTGCCGGAGTCGGGGTTGGAGTCGGAGCTGAAGGAGGCAGTAGCGCTCTCGCTCTGACTCTCGCTCAGGACGATTTCCGCTGTTATCCTCCCGATATCCGCTGGTGTGGTCAGCGTGACTCGATTCTCCCAGCTACCCAGGGCACAAATGCTGGTATTTTCAAGATCGACGACTCCAAACGACGGCTCGAATAGGAAACTCGTGAACATGCCCGTGGAGATGATCGTCCACTGCAAGTTCGTCTTTGTTTGTAAAGAAGAAGAACGCAACATGTCACGGACGTCAAGTTGCTCGTCGAAAACATCTTGCGCGGAGCCTCGTCCGATGATATCGTAGTCCACCCCGAACTGCCAGGGGATGTATCGCGTGGTTCTGGTTCTTCCGGTGGCGGATGATAGGACGGCGCGGGTTAATTTGACTTGTGTTCCTCTGCCTGAGACAAACCCCGTACAGCTGATGATGGTGTCGTAGCGGGCGAAGATCGAGGATAGTGCTTGTTCGTTGTCTTTGACGATGTCGGCTGGGACTATGTGGATACCTAGTTGTTGAAGACTGTCGAGCTTCTTCTGTTTAGGATCATTTGGGGAGAGGCTCGGACTCGCTGGACGTAACAATACCGATACAGTTATGGCTTGATGCTTTGGGTGCTGCGCCAGGAAGCGTAGGACCTGGTGGCCCAGCTCCCCGGCGCCAATGACAAGGATGTTTTGAGAGGAAGCCATGTTAGTAAATGAATTGACGTTGTGTCGGGGGATTTGATCCTATTATTTATCCTTCCGAGTTCACTATGAGGCTCGCGGGGTTGTCTTTGGCTTTGTAATAGTCATTTTTATTAACTAACTAACTAGTGGGTGTGATAGTTATACATTTGTCAGCCTTGTCGGCCTTGGATGTTGCTTGATCTGAGCATTGTATCAAATAGGCTCAAGTGCATGTACCCTGGATAAATTCTAACGAGCTACACGGGCTAAGAAAACAAACGCATGCGCCAGATATCAACGCATTAAAAAAAAAAAAAAAAAAAAAAAAAAAAAAAAAAAACAAAACTATACCGATAACCTATAAACAGTTCACAAGCAACGCAACCTCCCAGATTACCATCACCTAATCGACAACAGCCTAGTTACACCAGCAACAAATCACACCTCAATCTATGCCGACCGCTCACCGGTAAAACAAATTCGGATTCGAACTCGACGGATTATAAGCCTGATAACCCTCCCCGTTCGGCACACCCGGCGTCAAAGACGAATAAGGCGTAGTAGGCTTCGCTGCTGCACCCGTAGGAACAGGCGGAGGCTGATGCGTCGGAGCACCTGGGGCTGTGGGATAGGGGGCCTGGCTGCTAGGCTCCTCTGGGGAGTAGGCTGATGGCGAGTACTCTTGTTGGGCCTGAGCCTGTTGCTGTTGTTGCTGGAAGCGTTGCATGACTGGTGGGACTTGGCCTCCGGATGGGTAGGGGAGTTGTTGTTGGGCGGCGGGGCGGTCGATGGGGGAGTCGTAGACGGATGTTCCGAGTTCCTGGGGGTGGTCGTAGGTGGATTGTGGGCGGTGGTGGACGGGTTGGTATGCGTCTGTTGGGGGTTGTTGGGGTTGCTGGTAAGGGGAGCCGCCGGAGGGTGTGCGGTTGCGAGGATCGGGGGATTGGGAGGCTGGTGGGTAGCCCATTTGCTCTCCGCCGTAGTAAGGAGATGCACCGGGATGCAGTGGCTGAGCGTCTGCTTTGTCGTTAGATATGCTGGCATAGTAGATAGGCAAACTTTACGAACCTTGAGGGCGCGGGCTAAAGTAGCGGTTGGGATCAGCCTGTGGAGGTGGAGGTCCCTGGGGAAACCCGGCAGGATACCCGTAAGGAGGTTGACCAGGTCTAGCATATGGTGCCTGCCCAGGCTGTGCCATAGACGCCTCCAGAAGCGCCTCATAATCCCGTCGCGCTTTAATGAACTTTTCGTTCAGCTGGGTGAATTCGTCTAGTATGTGTCAGCAAAGCAGAACATGTTACCCGGGAAGTTGCACTATCTCACCCTTCTTCTGCGAATACTTTCCAATCAACTCAATCAACTTAGGCCGAATAGCCAAAGTCGAGTGGTATAGCGTAGTAATCTCCTCATTATCCTGCGCATTCGGTCCGGCATTACGCGTGCTCAGCAGCGTCAACAACTTCTCCACGTTCTTAATCTGACCAAACACCTCGCCCTCCATCTGCGCCTCGCGCTGCAATTCATCGACTGTCGGATCGGGAAGCTTCTCGACATAATTAAGAGGGAAAATTCCGGTCTGGCCTCTCAGCGAACCCTTCCACCAGTCCTTGTACACAGACTCCAGGACAGCAATGATATCTCCTTTCCGGAACTGCAATTCGCCAGTCTCCGAAGGCTGGAAATCGTACAATGCCCTCACGCGCGAAATTGTGGCAGCTGAGGTTCCCGACGGGAGCGGGACAGGAGCTTGTGCCTGCGCTTGTTGTTGTTGCTGCTGCACTGGCGGTGACGTTTGAGGTGCGGAGGCAGCGGCGGACGAGCTGGATTCGGCCTGCGGTCCCGGACCTCCTGGTGCGGGCTTGTCTCTGATCGAAAGCGCCAGCGCCATCTGCAATTCCTCCTCTTCCTGTTGGCGGTCGACGTCGGTGATTTCGCGTTTGCCGGGCTTCGAGGGAGGCTGTAGGTTGGGATCTAAGTCATCAGCAGCTGCAATTTGAGGACGGTTTTGATACGGGAACCTACTAATTGTCTTGAGCTTCATGTATGCTTGCTCCATGATACCGAAATCCGGGTTGTTGGCAAACATCTCCGTCCATTCTTCCATACGCTCGAGAATCTTCGACTTGACTTGCTGATGGGTGTTCTGTGCAAAGTCAGCGCATCCGTAGCCAACGTGTCCTCGCGCAGACTTACCCGATCACTAGCAAGACGCAGCAAAGCATCAGTGAAACTCCTAGACGCCAGCTCCCGATGAATCTTCGGACCACAGTTTTGCGCCAAAGCATTGGCAAGCTAGACCTATCAGCCACTGACCAACCACGTATTCGCTAAGTGACCATTTGACGAACCTCCAAAGTGTATAGCTGCACATTGGCATTTCTATGCGCCAACCTCTTAATCAACGCGGCCACGGCATCCTTTGCGCTATCATATCGTCAGTTCCATAACACATTATACCATAACACAGATGCAGATAGCGACATACCCAGATTCTTCCGCAGCGACTTTATCACAAACATCCTATCCCAAGCACACAAACGTCAGCGCCCTCGTCCACAGTTCCAGTTCCACCATCGCAGGTATCGTACAAGAATAAATTCCCAGTTCTCCGACGTCAGATTCTCGTCTGTCGCTTTGGCTGCACAAAAAGAAGAAACCAGATTAGCGATTCTGCAATACCGACCTGGCCAGCCCCACGGTATGATGCAGGCCAAAACATACCGACAGCGTCGTCGAAATGGTTCTGCTGTGCGCGAAACATCGGCCCTTCTCTTTATTTATTTATCCTAGAGTATCCGTTCCTTGGTCTAACCCGATTGTTTATCGAGTAGATATCGCACGTGGAATAATAGCGGATCGTATCGTTCGGTGCTGAAATGGAATGCGGATGCGGGGAGGTAGGTTTGGTTAGGTTAGGTAGTTCGTCGGGTCGACTCTTTCGTCTGGGTGTAGATCGTCTGGTGCGATGAAGATTTAGACGGTCGTATGGCGATAATCGAAATCGTCAAACACTCTGTTTTAGGTAGGTGGCGGGTTGTGGTGTAGCTGAAAGAAAAGGCAGATCAAAGGCTGCCACCTGGAGAACAAGAAGAACAAGCAGGTGACGGAGAGCGCGCAGGCGGAGAGCAAGCCAAGTTGAGGTGAGTAAGCAGGCCGCTCAGTTATGACGATGGAAGATGTTATAGTTATTATAGCAGTGACTTTGTTTGTTTTTGATGTTTGAGGATATTTATTGTGTTTTTTACTCCTTCATTGCTGCCTTCTTCCGTTGCTTGTGCCTAACACAGCCCGATCCAGGAAATATAGCCCTCCCCACTGCCCGTACTCGTATACTAGGCCCACCGTAGCTAGTCTACATAGTACAATTTCAACAAAATAGTACTTTTGTGTTCAGGTAAATTCGATATTACATTGGGAACGAATATAACAAGAAATCACAGATAAATGGTTAGTTAAAAACGACAAAAGATATTAGCACAATGCTTTTGCTGGACATGGTGATCCATATTATTCAAAATCCATCGCTTGGGTTGGACATCGAAAAACAGCACAATAGTAACCCGATAAGATATACAGCAGTTTTCCCATGGAAAAAAAAAAAAAAAAAAAAAATGAAGAACATCCGAAAAAGGTCACCGAAGAAGTGTCGAAAGAACGATATAATAAAAACATCACAATAGAAAACCCGAGAGAGATTTTAGCGGGTAATAGAAGGGAAAAGGTGGTCTGGATGAAACGGCGAGAAAAGGGAATAGGTAACAATAAAGGCTAAAGGCCGAACAATAGATCGCCATCTATGACACTGTATAATGAGATAAAGACGACGGCGTAAGGACGGAGCACGATTAGGCGATAGTGACTGGAAGGGTAAGGTATGGGTATCTGGAAGAAAAACGAAAGAGACAAAAGCCATCGACAATGAAAAGACCGGAAGACTGGGTATAGAACAATTAAACACCGCCCTTTTGGGCCTTCTCTTGGGCTTTGCTTATCCGCGCAGACTTGACAAGAGGTGACAGGTGCGACAACGGTGCACAGAGCGACATAAAGGGGTGCTATCCATAGTTAGTGAATTGATCAATCATAGCGGAATCGGATCCGCACTCACCTTCAACAAGTCATGTGCCGAAGCTCTCTTCTCAGGATCGACTTTCAGTGCAAAGTACAAGAAGTCCTTGAAAATATGCGACAGTTGATGCTCTTCTTTAATCCTGGGCGTGCCGTTCGTAGCGATCAGGTAAAGTGCCCGGAGAGGCGATTCCGTCAGGTAGGGAGGCTCGCCCTCGATCATTTCGATGGCCATAATGCCCAAACTCCAGATGTCAACCTTCCGTCCGTACTCCTTCCTGGTCACGACTTCCGGGGCCATCCAATAAGGTGTGCCGACCATGGTATTCCGCTTGTTCTGAGAATCGTTGATCTGTGCACAGAAACCAAAATCGGCTAGAAGAGCATTAGCATTGTTCGAAGAGGGTAACGTCCCGAGATGAATAACTTACTCAACTTGATATTCCCTTCCATGGAGAGAAGGATGTTGTCTGATTTGATATCACGGTGGATGACGCCCTTTGAGTGAAGATGCTGCAAGCCGCTCAAAGTCTTGATTGGTATGTTAGCGTCAGCTTTCTATGGAAAGAAGGCAGAATTTTACTCACCTCTCGGCAGACGGCCGCGATTTGGTGTTCGCTCATGATATTATAAGTCACTACATCGGTCAAGCTGCCACCCTCCATGTATTCCATGACGACCCACAGATCCAAGCCGTACAGGTAACTGTCCAGGAAGTTGACAATGTTCCTGTGCTTGCTGTCCTTCATGACGAGAATCTCGTTGATGATGAGATCCTTCTTTGGTTGCAATTCCAAGTTCATCTGCTTGATGGCCACGCAACCATGTGACCCCCTCTCGTACGCAGTAAACACGCCACCAGATGCACCCTGGCCAATCTTGTTCAGATTGTAGTACATCTGCGTGGGATCGCCCGGCGTGCAGATGGCGAGCAATCGAGTCCGGATATCCAT